CCGGTCTTCTTTTGCTATCCTGCCCCTGTGCCCCCATCCGTCACAGAGATGCAGTAATGCAGTCTCAGGAGCAGGACAGAGGAGCTGAAATGGAGCCTCCAAGGTGGCCAAAAATAGCATTGGAAATTATTTGCAGTTAAAATCTTATCATCTGGTATATTTATCTTCTTAATATGCCTTGAAGGCAGTAGCATGTTTATTATGCAATACCCACCCATGGCTCTCTGTGTCAACACTATCACCTCCCTGAATGTTGTTGAAAGTTGTTCTTGAACCACAATTGGAACAAGAATAAGCTAAAAGTTACACAACTACATTTCTCATGTTGGTAGTCCCAAATGGCTTTCAAGAGGTTGGATTTAAAAGCCTTCTTAATGTCCCAGTGAAACGGAGGTTAGGGTGTCTTTAGCTTCTGTACTGTGACATATTCCGCAGTGAAACTGAATATTTGAGCGGTGTACGGTCACAAGAGAGATTAGATTTAAAACAAATCATTCACATTTGATTGGACCGCTTAAAAGTGGGCCGGCTTAGAGTTTAGCGCGATACGGAGCTACAGAGAACCGTTTGCTCCACACACATACCTTCCTCACCTGTTGTTCGATTATGAGGAGGATGAAGGAGAGATAAAAGGGCCAGCGTTTTTAACCGGCTCTGTGTCACTGGGCAGTACATGCAGATGAACGGCTGTACTACCCGCGTTGCAGTAGTTGAAAACCAGTCGTTTTCTCCCTCTCACAGCCACGTTGTTTTTGGAAATGAAAGCAACATTTTTGCCCACTTTTCCCTCAACACACATCTCTTATTACTCCATGTTGCTCTGTTAGCTACCGAGATCCAACAGGGAAGTGCAATTTTACATAACCGAGTTGTACAAAGTGTCACCTGATTTGATGATTTTTTTTAATAATGCCTCTGAGTGCAAGATGAATCATAAAACATTTCAAACCGTTTCACAGAGAGAAAAAAAGGGATTTGATTGACTGATATTTTTTTTTCATATTTGGCATTTAACAAGAGATGAATGAACAATTAACACAGGGGCGGTGGATTAAAACTGGGAAAGTGTATTTTCCATTTCACCAGGACTTTAATGATACAAAAATCATGTCAGGTTAAACATTAAGCATAAAAACCCTGCGTTAGGACAGCGCTTTAATACTAGAGCCCAAATCCCTAAAGGTTTCAGTAACAGAGAAGAGACCCGCTGGTTTAGAGGAGGCTTGGCAATAATAATGGAAGCTGAAGCCTATTCAGCATTGGCCTTTGAAAGAGAGGAAGCTGTTGTTTTAACCCGCGGCTGTCAGTCAGTCACCCAGGTTGCTCCAGTATGCGACTCCACTGTAGCCTCTCTGGTTGAATAACCCCCCGCTGAGGCCATCTTAAGCAGGAATTTTATTAGCATTGATTTACCAGAGCACAGTACTTCTCACCGGCAATGCTTTCTAACTCAAGTCAGCTGCGGATGAATGTGTGCAGACGGCAGAGAAAGTGGGAGGCAATATTAGATTGTGCGCTGCGCTTCTTTGTCTACCTTGAAAACACAGGAACAACAATCTGCACATCCGTTATGTCGCTGCGCATGTGTGCCTACAAACACACACACATGCACACACAGTGGGAGAAGGGGCTTCATTGTGCAGCCCTGCTGTGTTGAGTGACTGTAGCGTGTGCTGGGCAACAGCTGCTGTGATCCCCCCCCCCCCCCCCACCAACCCTCACCTCCACTACTGGCCCATGCTGGTCTAAACATCAATGCACTCTCTCTTACACACACACACACACACACACACACACACACACACACACACACACACACAGTATATAAAGCACAGCAATGTACACACTCTATGTCATATTCTGTCCTTTTTCAGTCCTCATGTGTTTGTTTTCCTGTTTACCTCGCTCTCCTGTATTACCCCCGTACCTTTTTGTGTGTTACAGTCTGTGTCAGCTGACAGCGGGCTGTGTCTGTCTGTCTGTCTTTAGACACCGCTCCATAAGGGACACCCCCAGCTCCCCCCACTACTCCCTGACTTTCCTCCCTGCTGACAGCTGTCTCCACACTGTAACCCTTTCATGGCTGCATCCGTGAAAGTTATACTACAAAGTTTCGTCAGCCTATGACACGTTTTGGGAAGGATCTGAAATTTGTTTTTGGGTTAAGAGGGCTTCACTTTGAGATATACACACAGGATGTTTCCCCGACCGCGTTCCTGGTGGGCTTGTTTGTCATCAGTTGCAGCTTCTGCTGCTGATGTGACCCCGTCTGCAGCTCATTACAGCATGCCACCTGTTTGTCCTGAAGCTAGGCAAGACACACACACACACACACACACACACACACACACACAAATAGAGTTTGTTGAGGTGACAGGGGGTTAATCTAACAGGAGTGTCCATGGCGTAGCTGCCACACAGAGCAGGGACTGTTGACGTCCCACCGTGTCAATGGCTTTCTTTGTCCCCTGGGCGCGTCTTTCTGTTGCCGCAGGGTTTAGGACCAGCAGGCAGACAGGTGGAGGGTTATTGAGCTTTTGAGGAGCAAAGACAAAACAAAGAAAAAATAATATAGGCTGGAGCACATGTAGAGTGCTGCAGAGTTGACGTATTTCTGTAGACCAACCCTGAAGTTAGCGTAGCGCTGGTTCCCTCAACGAAAAGCCAATGTGATTTTTACATTGGATTTAGGATTATTGCAGTAAAATAAGATCTGAGGCAAACCAACGTTTACTATACTTTCACGTTTTGTTCAACAAGATGTTCTTCACAAATGAACACCGCTTTTTTTATGATTTTTGAAGCGTAATTGCAATTGCTAGGGGCAAAAAGCTAACGTTAGGATATAAATAAACTACACTACGGTCGCGTGACTTCACCACCATGAAGATAAAGGCGGACGAGTCAGCGTGACAATGCTTAGTAGTCAAATTTAGCCTTTTTTTAAGGCACGTAAAAGCTTCAAAACTCAAGAAAGGGACATTTACTGACATATTTTAAGCTTGTGCTAACTGCAGACCTCATTTCAGGCATCGAACCAAAAATCCATTCAAAAAACCCATTGACATTGAGACGAGGGAACCAAAAGTGCAAAAATATGAACTCGTATCGGGGTTTTGGGACTCAATCCTGCAGCACTCCGTTGCTCAGAGTTTTCACAGCAACTGACGGTTCTGCCAATGACAGCTTTTCATATGCCATGCAATAATAGGTGCATGTTACAAATTTTGCTGTCAGCTGTTTCTTTTAATTTGATACGTTGTAATAAAGAAAAGCCTTTGATGGACACCCAGCTGTTATCTATTCCTATAGCTGACAGTAATTATTGTCACCCAGTTGTGGGCGATTTGCATGGGCTTCAAGAAACACTTAAAATGTGTTATTTGCACCCTTCATTCACTCCCCCACATTTTGCACAGGAGCGTTGAGGTTCAAGCTGAAAAGGGCACACACTGCCAGAGTGTGCTGTCATTATCCAACAAGGCGATTGCCAGGAATTTGAAAGACAGACAGGGCTGAAAATGTATCTGTATCAGACTCTTACTCTTTTCTTGCATCTGGTCAATATGCTGTGCAGTGTTAGTGTTTGTGTGGCAGTGTGTACTGTGTGTGTTCACTCCTGCTGACACAGTGAGATGCCCGGACACTTAAAAAGACACACACACACACGCACACTGACCTCCAGATCGCACAGACCTCTACTCAGACAGACTGAGTGCCATGTGGCTGAGCAGAACCTTGTCTGGCAGACAGACCGACACACAGCTAGATTCACATACACACACACACACACACACACACACACACACACACACACACGCACTCATTATATATAACTGATAGACGGATGAGAGCATGTTATGTAGCAGCTGAAAACGGGCCCAGCCTGTGGATCACACAACAACTCAGCTGACACACACTCAGTAGTTGGCCAGCTGAGATGTGTGATTTGATTCTGAGTGCTTCTCTACTCGGTTGTCTCCACATAATATAAATGATCAACCCTGCATTTGTGTAAATTTATTTTGTCAATTGCATAAGCACATAAACGCATGGATGTTTGTTCTTCATTCAAATGATTGTAGTCCAACAGCCCTGTGGGGATTAGCGTGGATTTGTGGGTGTGGAGTGTTTGCTTTGTGCTGAAAGTGCTTATTCAAATACTTTGCTGTTGACACTTTCAACATGTTTAGCTTTGAATTATCTGCTCCATCAATTTATAAAAAAAAAAGAAGAACAACTTGCAGTACAACATAAGTAATTACTTTTCAGTTTTAAAACTATTCTGCAATCATCTATTTGTTTAATGAAGTGGATCTTTACACAAACTTGGGGGAAAAAAGTTACACCTATAGTGTTTATAATACGTTGTTTGTTTATACTTTTCTAAAAAGTATTAACCTTACACTAGCTGGTAAAAAAACGCCCTGTCATTCTTATTTCAAATGTATGTAATCAAGTCAGACTTGAGAAAAGCGTCTGTCACTACTTGTGCTACTGTCCACGTGTAAGTGTTTTTGCACAGGCTCTACCCATGTGGACAGATGCCTCTGCGAAGACAAGAGCCTATTGATGGCAGAGCAACAGCTTTCTCTGGCCAACTGATCCCACCTGCTCACTACTGTTTCTCTGGCTTATGATAAAGGCAACAGTTGCCTGTGCAGTTGACGTCTCACACATTGATACACAGGGGCACCCAAACATTTAGGGCACATCATCCCCATACATAATCAGTCAACATAAAACATCATATATGACTTATCATAAGATGGAAATATCACATTCAAATGCTGCCAGTGAATGCAGATGTTTGTTTATGTTTAGTATATGTGGACAATCAAACGTGTTCAATCATCTGTTGGTGTGTGCTTGAATGGGTATTCCTTTAGTGCACACACACACACACACACACACACACACACACACCCAGAGGCTTCTTTGTGTGCATCTTGTGATGTGTGTTGCGCTGCCTGCACTCTGACCCTTTCATGTGCTTTCAGGTTATCCAGGTTCCCATCGAGTCATGTGAGCAGTACGGGACCTGTGGAGAGTGTTTGAGCTCCGGGGACCCACACTGCGGCTGGTGTGTCCTGCATAATATGTGAGTATCCCTCAATCGTCATTCGGTCAGTTTGAAGACACTTTACACACACATTTTTGTTCGACATTCTCCAAAATGGCCTACAAATTTCCTCACACATAGGCAGATAGGTTTATATTTTCCTAATGTGTATCTATATCAAATCAAGTGTTAGGAAAGAAGACTGTCTGGGAATGGTTGTGTAGTAATGACTTGATATTAACAGGAAATGACAGCACTCAGTTGGTGTATGATTTACTAGAATTTGAAAAGACACAAGAAATTACCAAAAAGGAATATCATGTAGGCGTTTTGCTGTGCCTGAACACAAGTTTACTGGACATCTGGTGAAGCCTATGTTTGTTGAGCCTGTTCCAGAGCAAGATAGGGGATATTTACTGTACATCCCGCTGTTGCCTTAAGAATAAGCATAGAAGCCATGAGTGACACCTGCTGGAACTGAAGCGTTACTGCAACAAGTCAAACTTCTAGAAAGCCAGACTTAGGAAAAAAGATGTATATTTATTGTAGTTTGGATTGTTCATTGTGATACACATCTGTAAATTGAGCTGACTGTAGTTAGACGATGAGATGGAGAGAGTATATTGGGGACACGAGAAGAATGCAACTCATTGCTAAAGAAGCCAGAAGACATTCTGCTCTTTCTCAATCTCTCCCCCTTTGTTCCTTAAGCACACACACACACACACACACACTCTCATCAGTCCGAGCTTCTTCTTAGCTGATGTGTGTTGAATTCCCCACTTACAGTCCCTCCTGAATGCAGCCCCTCTCTCTAAAGGTATAGCTGAATATTTGTGTGTGTCAGAGCCCCGCCGCAATCATCATTATCGTGATGGCGGCCCCTGCAAAGTGCACTTAAAGTAATTTACATCACTCCAAAGCTGGGACAGGACAAATAATTGCCATAGTGACAAGGTAATTCCGCGTGTGCCTGCAGAGGTACGGGAGGGGCTGGCTAAAGCTTTATATTCTTTGCAGTCTGCGTGCCTTCACACAGGGATCATTTACCACAACATTAGCCTTTGTGCTTCGCTGTTAATCACATGCTTTTTTTGTAGGTGTGGTAGGGAAATGGAGTCATCTTAGTTAGTAGGGATTCAAATCCACAGCGCGTCAGGGGTGGTGGTGCTAAAAGGTGATTAGTTTTTTTTAGCTGTTATGGTGAAAGCAGCTGTGAGGAGGGAACAGCTGTTTAGTCTGCAAAATGCCGTACTGGAGTATGTCGTGTGTGTGGGCTCGTGTGTGAACGTCTGTGCGTGCACGTGGGTAAGATTTTTTTGAGAACATGCACAAACACATGTGTGGACTGCTGTACTGTACAGTGGGGGAGAAAAGGTCAGCACCACAATTCACGTCGGATCAGCCATCTGTTCTTTCAACACAGTGGACCTTCGTGCCACCTGTCTCTGGTCCTAATACCCCTTTCTCTGGCCTGACCCTGCAATGAGTGTGGCGGGACCCCTGTCAGCTCTGGCGGAGTTGCTGCAAAGAGGAAAAGAAGTTAACGGGAGAATAGTTGCCGATAAAACCATTTCAGGGTACACATGTATCAGAAAAGACTATGCCATTCATTAAAAATAAAAATAAAAACGTCTCATCATGCCATCTTGCATGAGAAGCCGCAATGAAATGTTGATGATGTCTCAGAGTTGTATGTGCTCAATTAATTATGTAATCTTATCAATCCTCTCTGACTGCTTGCAAGATAGTTGATAGAAACAGGCTCTTATTTATCTGGAAGTGCAGGGTTTTAAACATGACTAATGGCGTAGTAAAGGTAGGGTTTTGCTTCATGGGATTAGTTAGCATGAAGACTGTTCACATTTCATTATTGTTATCAGTGGTTGATAGATTTGAACGCAAACCTAGTGAATTTGTGTCCAGTGAGAAATTGGGAAGGTCTGTGTTTGACCAAATATTAATTATGCACATGCTGTCAAACCTTCAGGTAAAGTTTCCAATTCATTTTTTTAAATGTTCATTCAGTCTATTTTCCTTTATTGTAAAGCACTGTGTGAAAGGTGCTATACAAACAAATGTTATTATCATTAGTAGTAGTCGTAAGTATCTGTCGAATGCAGCTGGAGAAAAGCAGCTGCACCCTTCTGGTGAAGAGCTCCCCTCTTCCCACTCGCCCGGAATTCAATTTCTTGCCAGCCGTGGTGCCATCCACAGCTGTGATGCTACCGCTTCCTTCTGCCCCCTTCTCCCTGAAACCATTGTTGACTTTTTTTTAAATTGTCTTTCCCCCTCTCCCATGTTTGTGTGCACCTCAGCTAGCATCTAAGGTATGCCACTCATCTCTCAGCTCAGCACAGCTCACTACTGCGTCGTCTCCTTCTTCCCTCTGGAATAAGCTCTTCCACACTCCAGAGAGGGTTGGCTTGCCACACACAAACACCCCTCGCTTTGATCACCCCCCCCCCCCCCCCCCCCCCCCCCCCCCCCCCCCCCCGCCCCTCCTTCTACAGCTGCCATCCGCGATATCCATCCTTCTTCTCCTCTAAACATTGTGTCCCCCTCCATATTTTCTTTATGTCTGTGCGTGTACGCTCATTGATGTGCAGCATTCTAAGGTGGCTAATTAGGAACATAGGAGGACATTAGGTTGGTTTGCGAGGATGATGAGGAGGAGAGAATGCCAAGGAGGCAGTGAGCTGTTCAGGAGTGGCGTCTCTGTCTTCCCTGTCTTTCTCCTCGCTTTCTTCTTCCTCTGATTCAGTGTGGTGTGAGCCTCTAAAGTCCTTTAATTACCAGCAGCTGCTAGGCATCCACTGAATGCACGAAGAATGAGAGGGGGAAAAAAGAGAGGGGATAAGAATGAGAGAAGGGGAGAGTGTTTGATTCTGCACACTCATCGGCCCACAAGACCGAGCAGCATTTTGATTGCAGCTGAAAGGGGAGCTCATCATCTCCAGCGCTCTTCAGTCAAAGTCCCCGTGAATGGGTAGTTCAGCCTCCATCTGACCACAATCCAAAAACATGGGGCTGTGGCGATGCTTTCTCTCCGTTGCTCCCTCCCTCACTCCGCCTGCTCCTCATCACTGTTAGATTAGCTGTCTAATCATGCCCAAAAGAGGCTTTTCCATCTCAAAATGTCCCACGTCACTCTGTTGTACCTCCATCCTATCGGCTCGCTCCCACATTCCAGGAGGAGACGGGAGGTTTTTGTTGAGATTTGTCAGGATTAGTCTGGACTTGTGTCCAGGGGCTGATATAGTGATCTAGTGCCAAGGTCAGCAGTTGACCAGTATAGCATGTTTCAGTACTATTATTTGTATTATAAGAATTTACTCAAGTAGTAAAATGTAGTACTATACAGTATGTGGAAATCAGCGCTAGTTTGTTGTGTGGATGACAGCTTAGGGCTATTGGTGTAGTAGGCCCCAGCAGAGAGTGTGTCAGCATTTGAGGGCTGCTCTGAGCAGAGTAACATATCACTACTACACTGTGATACTGTATTGCACTGTACTGTCAATCTGCATCTGGCTGAACTGCTCTGATTTGTTTCAACCCACACAGCAGCACCCTGAATGGCACAGCTGTCCACTTGTCAGAAATCGGTGTTACTATCTTAAATGCTGCCAAGCGATTTGTTTGGCAGCCTGGTTTGGAGCCCATTATACGGGTACACTTTGTCAACTGCAAGACTCTGGGTTTGAGGAATAGCTGTTTATGTTGTGTTTATGTCAACTTAAAACTATACACCGCAGCCCTATTTTTCTAAGTACAACATTCCCCCATAAGCAAGCACTGGCAAAAAAACTCCCCTTTAATGGGTAGTACTATACTATACTATACTATATTATACCAATAATAGTAGCCGTGGATATAATAGAATGATAATAGCAGTAATAGTAGCAGTAATAATAGAATTTGACTAATAATGATCAGTGTCAAGCATGACCATGGCAGACCATGTACAGAGGGAGAGATGAGCTCAATGTATCATAGGAAGTCCCCCAGCAGTCTATGCCTATAGCCGAGTAACTAGGGGCTGGTCCAAGGCAATCCTGAGCCAGCCCTTACTATCAGGGTTATCAACAAGCAATGCCTTAAGCCTACTCTTAAATCTGCCTCCCAGACAAACTGTGATGGTTCCACCACGAGAGGAGCCTAATGCGGCATGTTCATCATTATGCTACGAATGATGTCAAACACCGACCATAAAACTCCTCTAATTTACCAATGGCAACAACAATTAGGGCCGCAATGCAAATGGCTGCTTCAGCCCATTGTGGATGTCGGACTGTGTGTCTAATGGCAGACTCATCAGCTACAGACACCGTTAGCAGTCGGAGGGGAGCTGCATCCATCTTCCCAAATGTGCCTAATGAGATATCGATCACGGACGTGCAGGTCGATCAATATTTCCATAGATTCCTAGCACATAGAGCTAGTACACGTTGGCTCCATGGTTTTTGAAATACTGCACCGGTATGTGTATAAGTGGGCAGACTACATATAATAAATTTAATGATCCTAAAAACCCCAGTGTGTTTGTACCTTGCTCGCTCACTCGTTTTCTTTTTGAGATGCTTCCATCCCCGCACTGCTCTTTCTCTCTGCTCAGCCCACGCAAGTAAAGCTATAGCTGCTGCAGAGCAGTGAGCAATAGTCTCTTCATAAATCTTTATCCTCCCTCTCTTTGTCCTTTCCTTTACCCTCACCCAGTACCTTTAACAGAGACTGACTTGATTTGCATAAACCTATATGTGTGTACACATGTGCCTCTGAGTGTGTTTGACTCAGTTTATACCACAATAGCTTCCCAGATCTATGAGAAGACGAAATGAATGGGCTGTGGCCATACTGTGCTCTGTGTCCTCTGGGCACTGTCCCGCAGTGACATTATCAGTCGCCACAGGAGACAGACCATGAGCTGCATCTGTTGGTTTGACCCCTGACATGAACTGTACACGACTTTGGGTTTCAAACTGTGCCCTCATGTATAAACCCAAGCTCACACAGCAACATGAGCTGGTGGAGTTTACCATCTCTGTGGTGGTTTGAAATAGAAAACCCTGCTTTCTTTATCATCCCTCCTTCACTTCCCTCCGTACCTCCTGTGGTATGCGTTTAAATGGATGTTCTCACACTTTAGGGATGCAACAGTTAGAAACATATGCCCTGAATCACTCAGAATGAGGATAACACACTCAAGGAAGGAAGGGGTGTGTGTGTGTGTGTGTGTGTGTGTGTGTGTGTGTGTGTGTGTGTGTGTGTAGGCAGCATAATACATCACTGCTCACCTAATAATTCCTCTTTTCCTGTTTGAGAGCCAAAGCCCCGGTGCAGTCAAGCTTCATGTTTCATGTTAACATGTGTTTCTGTTGAAATGTGCGGACCAGGGTTCCATTCAATGAAATCAAATCACGGCAGTGATTCTCTAACATAATGGGTTGCCACTTAAGCCTATTAAAGCTTTGTTAAGCACCATCAAATATTCAATATATACATAGTTATTCCTCACTGTACCTACATCATGCCATACTACTTCTCTTCACACCCCACTCTGCCTCCAAACCATCTGTTCTATGCTGTCATTTTCCTTTCTGTGTGGTGTTTGTGGTCCGGCCCTATCAAGAGAAGGAAGGTGATTTTAAAATGGCTCCCCCTCTGTTCTCTCTTTTTTTTTTAAACACGGTACTCACAACGAGAGCTGCAATCAGACAGTCCTTCACACTTCCATTGAAGTCCTTAGATGTGGTAAGGGAAGGGGAGGAGGGAGAGAAGAACGTGCGTGTGTGCATAAATGTATGAAGGATTTAGTGTGAGGGACTGCATTGTTTTATGGTTGTGTACGTTTATGTGGGTGCATGTTTCAGTGTATACATTATATGTCTGTGGCTATGTGTCTGTTTGTTGTCATGTTTATGTGAATGGGTGTGTGTATTCATAAGTCTAGCTGTCCGTCAAAGCTTGGCACAGCAGAGACGACAGTGTAATTGCCTGTCCAGGGCAACAGAATAAGAAGCAGGCGCTGGTGGAACAGACCCTGAGGTTTGGCCTCTGCTAACCTCACCCTTCCACTATGTAAAGTGTTATTTTCCTCCCACAAAACACTAAAAATGACTCTGCACATTAGATGCAGCTTAGTGACTTGGGTCACAGTGCAGACGTGTGTAGCGGCTTCATTTGCACCAGGGCAGCCCACAGAAAATGCACAGGAGACAACAATATGCTGTCCTTTGTTTGTTTTTTATTTGTATTTATCTCACTTGCCTTACATGTCTGCATGAAATGTGACTGCCACTTACAGCTGCATTCATACCCTGCAGTTGGGTTGTCGATTCCAGAGAGGAGTAATAATAGAAGTGCAAGCACTTACTTCAGCACCATGGACAGGGCTCAACACTCAGGCTGCTTCCAGCAAAAAGCTCCTTATTACAGGAGAGCGGCGTGCATTTGTACTGCCAATCTGCATGTACGTGGAATTGTATTGTACGTATGCAAGTGTTAATGTGTGTCTGTGTGTTTCTTTCTCTTTTGAAAGAAATTCAATGTTTCACACCTTATTTTGTCCGTGAGAGCCCCCCCCCCCTCAGGAATGTAAGTGATGGAACACAAAGCATCGGGGAAGCTACTGAGTGACAGGCCAGGGCCAGACAGGAGGATAAGGGGGGGTGTACAGGAGAGAGGGGGTCAGGAGGGGGAATATGAGGAAGGCAGGATTCTAGTCAACACTCAGTGGCATGCACTTCAGCTAATGAGAGAGGCAAGGGGTCAGTTTCTAACTACACAGAGATAATGGCCATCTCCTGAAACCATGGCAACAGCAGCCATCCTGCACTCCCCCATCACCCCCGCTGCCACGTCCCTCTCGCCGCGCTCTCATCTTACTTTACCCCACCAAAATGATTTTTTTTTTTAAATCACAGTGAGGAAAATGAAAGCAGGGCTTTTTGTCAGTTAATGACCACCCAGGTTTTTGCATCTGTACCCATGCGGCTTGGAGACATGCATAAAACATTGTGCCGCGGTCCACACCTGAAAGCAAATTAAGTATCATTTGCTGCTGCCATTGTGAATGTAAAAAAAAGCGCCAAATTGCCGACACCTTGCCGAAGAAAGGTGTACTAATTTCAACCTGTGAAAGAGTGAGGCAAAAAAGGGAGACGCATGGAGAGAGAGAGTGTGACAGAGATGTGGCAAATACAGCATGAAGTCAAATGTGTAAAATGAAGAGGCAAGGTCATTTATATCTGGAGTAACAATGAAAATGTCACATTTAAAATGTAGAAATAGCGTTTCAAAAGTGGTGAAGGGGACACCCAGGTAATAATTCAGAAAATGTAAAAAGTGTGTGTATGCTTGTGCCTGTTCATGTGAGTCTGCTGGATATGGCTTGAACTTCTGACAACAGAATTACAGACAGAAGCTGTGGATGAAGATGTAGCTTAGAGTCAGTATGTGTGAGAGTATGTGGTTAAGAAGCATGATATGGGCCCTGATACACGCGCGCACACACACACACACACACACAAATACGGAGTCAGCAGCCAGGGGAGAATGGACAGGGTTTGTAGTGGTACATCAGCACCACGGACAGCGACTGACCCATCGGAGTCCAATTAGAGCTGCTTTGACCAGACAGCCAGTTAACCAGCCTGGGTTGGATGAGGAGAGAGAGCCTTTGGTGTAATGGGATGGAAGGAACACACCGTTTTAATAAGAGGGAATAAGAGTGGCTGAGTTTTTTTAACGAGGGATGTGGCGGTTTGTGGGGGTGTCGCGTGGTACTTGATATACTATCTGGCCACTAAGATCTCTTATGAGTGAGCACCGTGTAATTTGCACCAGTTGCATCACCAAAGTTGTCCAGCGATTGAAGAATATAATTTGGCTGTGTAGTGCTTAGTGCTGTGGCTTCGTAGTTTATGTTAATATGGTGTATTAAATTACCCACTGGAGGCAGAGGCTCCACTGCTGGTGCCACCACTTGTTTGTGTGGTTTGTTGGGAAGCTTCCTGGAGGCCATGATCGCCTACTATTTTATGAAACGTTTAGAGCTCCATGTCCTAGAAGCCAGCTGCTATTTTTTACTGGGAGTGTCATGAAATACACATTTTTACAACAGTGAGCTTTTTTTCCAGTGAAATCGTTTCCTATTATAGCTTCAATATGCCGTGTGTTTTGCACAACAAGAAAACAAAAAAAAAATTGTCTCATAAAGAACAGCATAACTCAGCCAGAATCAAGAGCATGTCAAATTGACAGCCTTTTATCATCAACACAAAACAAACACATCTACATGAGTGAAACAGACAGCATGAAAAAAAGAAGAGAAAAGATGCCCGGAGCATCTGGTGTAGTTCTCCAGTGATCAGTGCAGGTGTCGTGAGACTGAGGTGGTGGATCAAAATGCACTTCTACAATGTGTCCATCTAATGTCCAGGAGAAGTAGGGGGTGATTAATCATGCTTTACAGCATTAGTTCTTCCTCAAAGCACCGCTAGTATTTTAAAAAATAATTTTAAAAACATTGTTCAGAAAAACATTGTTTTTCTAAACAATGTTTACTGCTAGCGCTTTTGATAGTTTGAATCCCCATCTTTCCATCCCATTCCCTGTCACAAAACTGGCAATTTGTCTTTTTCAGACCCCAACTTAAACTGTCACATAGTATTTTCATTGCTGCACTTATTGTAACATGAGTATTTATTTCTATCACAATTGTTGTTATTGGTTTTTTTTACCCCTTTCTTTACTTTTCATTGTGAGTGTTTTCTTCCTATTATAACTTTGCCAGCACGCTATTTCCTGTAATATATTCATTCATCGGGTTACTAATGTTTTGGTTTTTTGTAACAATATAATCGAATTGATTTTTTTGTGAACTATATTAGTACTGGTAGCCTCTCTTTTTCTTTTTTATTCATGTTCCTGCTGAAAAACAAATATCAGTAAAACCATACTTTCTTGTTCCTCCCTCTCCTTTCTGTTCAGCTGCTCTCAGAGGACCCGGTGTGAGCGTGCAGATGAGCCTTACCGTTTCGCCGCCTCTCTCAACCAGTGTGTGAAGGCCACTGTGTACCCAGACAGCATTGCGGTGTCAGAGCCCAGCGTACCTGTAAGTTCACACAAGCACATTCCTACATCCAGTACGCACACAAAATGCCAAACACCTGCAATCTTAACCTCTACTTGCTCACATTACAATGATAAATAAGCTACCATTTACATATTCCCCACCCACGTACAGAGGCAGAACATTTTAAATGATCCCACATAGCAGTTTGCCTAGTTTTGATTGCAGTTGATGCATAAACATTAGATGAGAAGGTTCATAAGAGCTTGATGTGGGCGTTTCAGTGTGCATATGCTCACTTGGTACAAAGCAATATGTGTGCCAAGACATGTTTGTGTGGGTGGGTGTGTAGGTGTTAAAGTTGTCCGAGTGCAGCTGAGTACAGTGCAGTATGTCCACATGGACCGAGCGAAAACGGGCAGATAGAGCATCAGTGAAAAAGGCTCTGCCTGTCCAAGTTCTGCTGAACTTTGCTGAACATATGTGGACACATGTTAGGTCTTGAAATACCCGCACTGGGTCAGTTAATCCGGAACACAAAAGATTCATCTCCTCAGGTTTGGATTTATCTGAATAATGGTGGTGCTCAGCAGCATTTGGTTTTTACCATATTACACCAGGTGAAACTGCTCACAACAAGGTCTCAGATGTAATATTTGTACAATTTGGTCAAACAAAACTAGTTCAACTAAGCTCTATGATAGCAGACATAACTACAGCGGACTTCTCCAGACCTCTTTAAATTGCACATAATATCCTGGTTTGATAGTCTGCACGGGCACATTTTCCTTGTATTTTGCTTAAGATGGCGGTTGGTAAGAGTCACTAGAGCCCAACATAAAGGGTTATACCGAGTGGCGAAGTGGTCATTTGTTGAGGTGGGTGTACTACTAGCTAGATGAGTTGGTTACGAGAATGAAGTGAGTATGCTCTCCTATGTATTCCAAAACGATTTGGCTAATAGGTGGGTACACAGTAAGCCCACAGTATACCCGGTAAACCTCAAATAACCTTCACTTGACCACATTTTATACCGAAGAATCATCTGTGAAAGATTCCACCCAGAATCCCCTATGAGACGCTCTACAGATAACCCTTCTATGGTGTAATGGTTTCACCCAGAAACCTCTCCGGGATTCAATCCAGAATCTTTTCACCCTCAAAAGGTCCTAACAAGAACCCACTCTCTATTGAGATCTCTTTTATATCCCAAGGGTTTCATCTAGAACCCACCTAGGGTACCTCATGAGGCTCTTAAAGGGCCAGGGCTGGTGTGGTGCAGCGCAACACACAACAATCATGGTTCACAATCACAGTTTTTGGGGATATGACGGCTGGGAAGATATTTGAACACCCATGCTTTCAACAATCCTTGAAGAACTCTTTCTTCCAAAAAGGGTTCTTAAAGGAATAATATTTCAAAACCCTTTCTTTGAAACAGAAGCAAATGGTTCTGGGTAGATCCTCAGTCCTTTAGAAAGAAGCCTTTTGGAAACCTTACCTTTCAGAGTGCAGCCCTCCGTATACTTGGCCCCAGTTGTCCACTTTACAACAGCAGTTTATCCGAAAACATGTTGTTCCCATGTCACGCTGTACCAGGAACAGGGTCATCTCACCAAACCCTCCCCAAAAACCCCTCACAAATTCTCACAGTTCACAAATTCCACAGCAGCAGACATCTCCATGACAACACAGCCTCTTCATGTGGGCAATACAAGAGATAGAAACACAGCGAAAAACAATCAAATTACCTTTATTAAAACTCTGCCACCAATTAGGCTGGTTGTTGCTGCCAAGCCGCAAAAAAACCCACCACCATCATCATAAGGGAGGACGGGAGATCAAAAAGAGCAGAGGCTTAACACTCTGAGACAAGCTCACTTTCTGTTGCAGCCTTGCTGCCTCTGTGTGTGTATGTGTGTGTGTGTGCATGAAAACAATTTGAGTGTTTATCTGTATATGTGTGTCTTGACAAAATGATGAGAGCTAATTAATGTGAGAGGTTCCTCGGGGAATTCGACATTGAACAAAAGACATTGATTGCTGTGATTGCTGTAATCAAGGATCTCTCTAACACACCTCAGAGCGAAGTAACACAAACACGGTGAAAGTACAACAGGGTGGAAGACAAGAGGTCCTCAGCAGAAAGAAAAAAATAAATAAATCATCCATCCTCTCAACGGGTACCAGAGTAAGCTAGCTAACGAGGGAGGCAGTGTAGTCAGACAGTCAGCATCTCTTGAAAGACCTACAGTTAAGCTGCTCAGCTGCCTTCCCTGTCCCAGTAGCCCCGCGGTGTTTAGTGAGCGGTAGATAAAACAAAGAGAAACTTCAAACGGCATGGCCCAAAAATAACAGCTAATGGAACAAGGCTGTGAAATGCCATGATGATAATTATCCAGGCTGCCTCTCTTGGCTAGAGAGCAAGATCACACACCCTGTGCGCAAGAATACATTTATTTATAGGCAGAGCAGCTGAATGCTCCAGCCCCGGTGTCACCGCTCTCCAGAGGATGACTTCAAACACTTCTATGTGCATCTGCATACGTGTGGTATTGCACATGTACTGCCCATTGTGTGCCAGTATGTATAGGTTTTATTTGGGGGGGGGTTGCATGTCTTTCATGTATCTCTGTGTCCTTATGAACTGGAGAAAAAAGAAACAAAAATAGAAGTTGCCGAGTGACCATTGTTTCCCACTTTCCTGTATACAGTTCAGTATTGACCACTGACTGAACCACAATGTCTGCCTCTACCTCTGGAATTATATCCTCTACATTCAAATGATCTAAATACAGCCTTATTTTCTTTATTATGGTGTTGATAACATTTTGAAGACACTGTAGCATTTCTTGGCAAAGTCGATCGACAGTATTGCCAGCAGCGTTGTGTTCTTCTTCTCATTCTATTTGGAGCTTATTACACTTCTGCATTCAAACCATCATGCCCGGTTTGGTTCATATTCAAACAATCGTGCGTAACAAACATTGTCACATCATGTTAACATGGTTGTCATTTGCCCCACCCCTTGTGCAGCTGCTGGTGAAGGTGAGCCACGTTCCAGACCTTTCTGCGGGCATCACTTGCTCCTTCGGCAACCTGACGGAGGTGGAGGGGCAGGTCAATGGCAACCAGATACTGTGTGTGTCTCCTACTGCCAGGGACGTCCCCGTCATTCCCCCCGACCAAGGTAGATACAACAAACAGACACGCACATACGACTATCCAGTGAATGTAAACTGATGAGTGGTATTATTATACCTTGTCTTATAAGTCATTATATAATGCTTCATATTGTGTTATGTTTATTTTGGCATTATGGATATTTATGAGTGCTTACAACTATGATTATACAGTGCTATAAGCAGATTGTAACTATTATAAATGTTTATAATGCATCTTAGACATGGGTCTCATAGAAACTGTTTCCAAAATATTTTACAATGTAGTCCATACAAACTCTGGTCCGATCATGGAGATTTAGATGTGAACCGTAACACGTCTAAACGCAGCCTAGGACTCCCATACGTCCCTCTCTTTCTGCTACTTATGCTGCACTGAGCTAACCGTTCAACTGCCCGCACTCTGAAACATCTTTATTGATTCAGCCCCCATAATTTAAGCAGGCACCGTCTACATAACAAGCTCCCACATATCCAGAATCAGTCTCCTGGCTGTGAAGTGTGCTACACACAAGGCCAGGCCACATTAGAGCTGACGGGGGGGTCAGACTGAGATCCCCTGGCCTGTGGCTGAGCTGCAGCTCACCACATTACTGCCCTCAGACTGGGATAATTGGCAATGGTCTAACAAGCAGGTTCAATCAGCCTGGGGACGGTTTAGTTGAGGGGACAATGGGGAAGTTGATGTGGTGGATTAGTATCTTACCATAGCCAAGGCACAGGGAGCTGATCTGCTGTTTGCTTTGAAGAAAAGTGGGACTTGATATAGACACACAGAACAAAACATATACTCAATAAAAATTGTAATTTGTTATAGTAAGGAATTATATTTTAGCAGGTACAAATGTCCAATCAGCCATTTTTAGCTCATTTCACAAAATCTAGAAACTTAAATTATTCATAATTGAGTAGAACATATCTAAACATTGCCTAGACAACGTTTAGGTCCAGGAATAAATAAATGCTAATCACTTCTAATATACTATTCATAAAAATCTCGTGACCTTTCAAGCATTTCCCCAGCATATTTTCATAAATATACCATCGTGGCTCTGGGATCCATTTATTTGCAAACATATATATCATTATAATACTAACACCTGCTATTTGACAATAATAACCTGTTGTTTGCCAGCCAAGATGGCTGCAGGGTGACAAAACCAAACACCCTGAATAATATATTATGTGTATAGTATGTGCAGCGTGCAGTGGAAATCACTGTGTGTTTTGGGGGTGTGGTAATCCTCCTCCCTGTGAGTAAATGACAGCCCTGTTTGCCCAGAGCTCCCACGGGGACTGGTGCATCAGGTACTAATATGAATGTTCTCCCCTAGGTAAATGTCAGCCAATCCCCCTGGTAAGCCCTTCCTCCATCCATCTAGCTTTCCATCCATCCTACCATTCCTCTCTTTGACCAACTTCCACCGTTCCTCCCTCCTCTTTTGTTGCCTCTCCTAGCGGTTTATACCTAATTTTTTTTCACTCCACATCCATTCCCCTGAGGCCACTTCCTCCTGACCTCCCCACTATCCCCCTCCATCTCCTGTCCCCAAGCAAGCATTTCTATCTGTTGCACATCAACATCGATCCTGCAGTGGCAATGACCTGAGGAGAGGGGAGAAGAAAGGAGAGGAAAAGAGAGGAGAAATTGAGATAATATATTGAAGTTGGAGAACAAGGAAAAATAAAGGAGAAATTAACACAAGAGCAAAGGAGTGAAAGGAGAGGTTAGAATACAACTGAGGATAGTAGACTGAGCTTGACATGAAAGAAAATAGCTGGCACTTTTCTTCACAAAGGAAAAAAAATAAAATCCTAGAGGAGGTTTTGTGTGGACAGGAACTCTGTACCACTTTGTTTGCCTGATCCTGTGAGACGAATGCGAAATGGTAGAAGTCAGCCATGAGCCTAGCCTGCCCGCTACACAGACTTGTGTGAAACAGAGCCTGATTCCCAACAGGTGCTGTGGAGAGAATGGGGCACGGAGGGTCGTTCAAGCCTCCTACTCACTGAATGTCATCTGAAATACACACACACACACACACACACACACATATACTGTATATGGAGTCTGTATTATTGTGGGGAGAGATAAGAGGCTGCTTTTACAGAGAACAGAAGCATGGCCATAACTCAACAACAACATTTGATCAGATGAAAAGGCTCTGTATGTAACTGAAATTTGCTCTTATTTGGCTTGCATATATGAAATACCAGCGATACCACACAAGAAGTCCTACCTTTCCAGATATCTTGTACCTTGTAACTGATTAGCATACGATTCAATGATGTCTGCTCTTCACATCCTAAGCAAAAAATAATCCACCCATCCATTATCCTCTGCTTATCTGGGGCCGGTCGCGGGGGCAGTGGGCTTAGCGACATATTCCAGCCATCCCTCTCCCCAGTAACGTGTTCCAGCCCTTCCTGCGGTACCCTGAGGAGTTCCCAGGCCAGACCAGATATATAATCTCCCCAGTCGTCTACTCCGGGGTCTCTCACCTGTTGGATGTGCCCGGAAAAACCAGTCTAGGAGGCATCCTGATCAGATGCCCGAACCACCTCAGCTGGCCCCTTTCGACTCGAAAGGGCAGCGGCTGTACTTCGAGCTCACTCCAGATGTCTGAGCTCCTCACCTCGAAGGCTAAACCCAGACACCTTACAAAGGAAGCTCATTTTGCTGCTTGTATCGGCAATCTCAGTCTTTCACCACCCAAAGCTCATGACCACAGAGGGTTTGAACGTAGATGGACTGGTAAATCGAGAGCTTTGCCTTCAGGCTCACCTCCCTCTTCAACTACGGTCCGGTACAACACCTGAATCACTGATGACGCCACACCGAACTGCCTGTCCATCGTTTGCAAAAAAAAATGCAAAGATAAATAATGCATGAGTATACAATACAAGTTCATCTTTTGTCTCCTCTCTTTCAGATTGGTCAGGCGTTGAGCTGAGGCTCAACTCTAAGGAGACTGGTCAGATGCTTATCAGCACAGAGGTCAAGTTTTACAACTGCAGCGTCCACCAACTGTGAGTATCTCTTTCAGAGCCCATTCATTCTCTTTTACAAAAACAAAACCCCAGACCTGCTGCCCAAAGCCACTGGATCAATGCTCTGGGAATTAGTTACAATTTGTCCTCAACCTTAGCCGGCCCCGGTCCCCCTAAAAATATCCCCTGTGAAGACTAATGTAATCTGATAGCTGACTGCTCCCTGAGCACAGTCACGGGAAGTTTCTTTCCTGTTGCACTAATGAAGCCTTCTTCTCAGACACGCCGCGGTACAAAACACAAAGCTTTCTGCCTAACAGGCCTTCAGGACGGATTTCACGCCCCGTTTTCATGCTATGTCCGTCCCCGATTCAGTGATGTTGAATCCAGGTCCCTGTATTGGAGATCTCAGGGACGGCAGTGCCTTTGCAATTGCTCGCTTCATTCCCGTGTACAGCAGATTCTGTTTGTGCTAGATCCAAAGTCCTTGCTGACTTGGGAGTATCAGTGAATGGAGAGCAAGAGACTCAGGATATCACTGCATTGACGCTAGCAGGAGTAGCATGTCATATTACCCTTTTATTATCCACTTCGACATTAAAGCAAAATGTTGTAGCCACTGTCTCCTTTGTTGTTTTGCATCTCTCGCTCTCAACTTCCTATGGTTGTCTGCTTACTGAGAACCCTGTCTGAGTAGCACAGAAAGCAATTACCAGCTCTCACATCAGCTCAGTTAATGGCCGATGACAAACACACACACACACGCACACACACACACACACACACACACACACGCGCACTCAAACACACAAAGAAAGATACATACACTTGAAAAAGCCATACGCTCATGATGTAAACTCTGGCTCTCTCTTTCTCTCCCTCTTACACACATGCTGTACACTCTATCTGCCAGAAGGTGAATCAGCCCTATTCTTCTGAATTAGTGTGCTTGCCAGAGATCCCTCCCATGCTTTTGCATCGATGAATATTTAACAATAAGCAAGTATGCATAACTCAACCGTATTTCAGAGAAAGAAAGGGAGAGGGAGAGCCAAGTGTGATTACAATACGCTCTCCGAACAACTGTGAATACATGGCGTAGTTAATTCAAAATCAATTGAAAGTCTTTGCCATGGCAACATGGAGAGAGAATCAAGTATGGTAGCCTCAGGCTTGCCCATGCTTGTATTTGCTCATCTCTCCATCCATTCATCCATATAGTAACCAGTACACAGGGTTGCTAACTGTCCCGTATTAGCCGGGCCGTCCCCCGGGGCTAAATTGGTTTGTCCCATACAGACCCTTCCCCTTGTCTTGTATATTGACCGCTACTCTACTCTGATCACCAGACAGCACTTTTACAGATCCTATCTGATACTACAGCAGTAGAAGTTCATGTGCTGATCACTGAATAAGAGATCCAGATATAACATATTTTGCACAGAATAAGTAAAACAAAAATACATATTATAGATAAATATATCAGTATTGCACAGAGGCAGTTATTGTACGGTATAAATAGTGTACTTTTACTGCAGAGTTCAGTGTGGCGATGGGTAGAATCTGTTCGTTGGTCTTAAGGATCTGATTACTTCTTCCACCGCCGCTTGCAGTACAGTATGTACCCCATAGTGACACATACACACACACGCTTACATATGATGAATGTAAAAATGCTCACACACAAGCACACACCTAACAGCTGGTAATAACAGCGACACTCCAACAATGCAGAGCTAATGGTAATTGCAGGATCAAGCTGCGCCAATGTCTTATTCGCCCTCATTACTCAACGTTCCTGCACTCTCTTGTCTCTCTTTCTCCATGTGATTCAGGCCATGAGGGCTAATATGCAGCCCAACATTCATACATGATACGCAGTATTAATATATGGCTTTATAGAATATGTGCAGGGGAGAACTTGGGCCAGCAGCTACAGTATTAGGTGCTGTGCCAACCACAAGGGCACAACAACAGCAGGTGCCCACTTGGGATCTGAACAAATTTCCTCCGTGGTACTTACCTCCTTAACTGCACGTTTTTTTTCCTGACTCTCTTCTTCCGTGTGTGTGTGTGTGTGTGTGTGTGTGTGTGTGTGTGTGTGTGTGTCCATGCAGGTGTCTGTCTTGTGTGAACAGTGCCTTCCGCTGCCACTGGTGCAAGTACCGCAACTTGTGTACCCATGACCCCTCCAGCTGTTCTTTCCAGGAGGGACGAGTCAACGCCTCTGAGGTTGGTGGAACACAAATGTGCACAAGTGCCCACATATGCATATAAGCAAGCTTTCTAGCACAACTTTCTCTCTCACTCTCTCTCTCTCTTCCTCTTCCCTCTCTTCTGCACCTTCCCCCATCCTGGTCTGTGTCAGCCTTAGGGCATATCTTCAGAAAAAAAGCCATCTAAGCTCTTCTATTTCCGAATTGGCATTTCTCATTCAGAGCTCTTGTTCTTTGTAGTGGCAATTAACACTCTATTATCTCTGGAGTTATTGAGCTTAGCGTGTCTTAACAATGACACAGGATCACTCTGACCCAGTCAGTCATGTGCGGTAGATACAAAGTGCTTGAAGTATGCCTGTGTGTATGGTGTCCGTGCGTCTCTGGCTATGCACATAGACAGTACTTGGGTATTTGCTGGGGGCTGTTATGTGTTTTTTTTCTTTTACTTCTTTAAACTCATTTACCTGCACTAAAGGAGAAAAAGTGTGTTAATTGCTTCTTTTGGTGGTAAATTACAGGACATACGGCCAGTGGGCATCACTCCTGCAGTCTTTCATCTCTTTATGAATAAAGGCCGGCCTCCCTCTCTACGTCTATATGCATTAAGCACCAATAGCATAAAGCAAAAGTGTTGTTATGGGATCAATACATGATTTCATATCTATGATCTAAGAGGACTCAAGATGTATGAATGTGAATAGCTAAAGGCCACAAAGACCAAAGGTTCAGTGTGTGATGCTGCTGTGATAGATTTCAAATGTTGCTTTCAACATCATACAGCAAACAGAGTTGACCTCGGAATCGCTGCCTTGCACTGTAAACCACTGAGTACTAATTTAATCATTCTCTTCACCAATTTAGCCGTTTCAAAACTGCACTCTTGATAATGGGTTGTTCATCAGCTCAGAGCTCTCCAAGGTCACAGGAGTCACTTTTAAACTCTAACTCGAGATGTATTTCCATTTCAGCCGCACTCACCACACTTTGTACTCACCTTAAAACACCAAAAAAAGGAAAACATGTTCTTCTTCTGTTTTGTTTGTGCAACTGATTACTGATCACTCACAGTTCAGTTCATATTGCTGTTTTGAGTCATGGATCGGATCAGCAGGAACAAAAGGGGGCAAATATACCGCTTCGAGATAGAGCAGATAGCTATTTCCGATCGTCGGTGAGCATATCAGATACAGATACAGATCGTTTTTTGTGTTATTTTTTTTTTGTTATAGATGCAAGGCTCCACCATCTCGAAAAATAATTTCCTACCTTTGCCTGATGCTCATTTTTACTGAAGAAACTTGATCACATCACTATGGAACTCAATGGAACTTTCGTACGTTAGCTCCAGTACTGCAAAACTTTATTTCATACTATGATGGTTAAACTATGTAATTAATCCGCGGATCAACAACGGTCTGTTACACTACTAGCTGGCGCTCACGTGTGCTCCCTTCTCTGTGCTTGTTACACTTCCAGGACTGTCCCCAACTGGTGCGCTCTGGGGAGATTCTCATCCCAGTGGGGGAGGTGAAGCCTATCACCCTGAGGGCAAGGAACCTGCCCCAGCCCCAGTCCGGTCAGCGAGGCTACGAGTGCGTCCTCCACATCCAGGGGGTCAGCCACCGAGTCACCGCCCTCCGCTTCAACAGCTCCAGCGTGCAGTGCCAGAACAGCTCGGTAGGTTTGGTGACGCTTGCCCAGATTGTGGCAGATCGGTCATAAATGGTGATGCATGGTTTTCTATTTGTGTACACATTGCACATTCAGTAAAGAGAGGAATATACTGCACATGTTGATTACATAGGTTATTTCGCTCACTGTTTAAAACATGTGCCGTAAGCTACCACATCGTGTGTGTGTCTGTATTTGTGTACATGTGCCTGTCATTTCAGAGCAGACACACTAGACGCAGCCGTGGTAGTAATTACACTGGAGAGGACTGCATCAGGGCTCTGCCCTCCAGTCAAGCACGCACAGACTCCTGCAATATATTCCCAGAGGAACTACGGACATACACATTAGGAACCACAGACAGAGACATTTTCTCTCCCCCCCCCCCCCTCTCTCTCTCTACACACTCTACACACCCATGCACAATGAAAGTCAGGCTAGAATTAAGGGCACAGGAGGCAGTTAAGGACAGCGTCTCCAAACGCCAGGAGGGAAGCTCAAGCCTCAGCTCAGCTGTCCAGTTCCTTGTGGCTTCTCACTTTGTCAGCTCTCTGATGATGAAACTTCGGGGTAACATCTACAAGGGCTCATGGGAATTCAAATTCCTCCTCTATTTTTTTTTTTGTCTGTTCCACCTTCACCCCATATCTCTGTCTTTTTCTCCCCTCCATGCTTTGGGCCTCTAGTATCTGTACGAGGGAATGAAAATCAGTGAGCTGCCTGTGGATTTCTCGGTGGTGTGGAACGGCAACTTCATCATCGATAACCCGGAGAGTATCCAAGGTAAGAACAAAAGACGCTGCTGTCAACATGTGCAAAATGTATGTAAATATTTATATGGTAAGCACATGGTGTATATTAAGATATGAGTTATTGGAGATAAAAGAAAGAAGACATAACCTGTGGGGATATTTCACTCATAGCAGACCGACTATATGTTTCCTTCAAATATAGAAAGTCTCTCATAAGACTTGTATAGGTTTCTCAGTTGTTGTGTGTTCACTGTTCATCTATTCTGCCTCCGATATCCCACAGTGCACCTGTACAAGTGTGCAGCCCAGCGAGACAGCTGCGGCACGTGCCTGAAGGCGGAGAGGAAGTTCCAGTGCGGCTGGTGCAGTGGGGAGGGAAGGTGTACTCTGCGGCACCACTGCCCTCCCATCAATCCTTACACCACCCGCTGGCTCAACCTGTCCAGTAAGAATGTCAAGTGCACCAACCCACGCATCGCTGAGGTCAGTACCCATAATCCTCTGTCTGTCCTTCCTGGCTGCCCACACACATTCAGCTCCAATCGATGTGCAATAATCAGCTGCCACTTTCTCCTTCTTCTTAGAGGATCACGAGGCTGAAGGCCTTTACACACTGTGTTTACGTGTTATTAATTAGCACGTCAAAACCTTTATTTTTAATTGTTGTTTTTGTCAGGAATACTTTGTCACAGAACGCAAATTATGCGGCTAAAAAGCGACATACTGTTTTTTCTGAGGCATCAACCAATAACGTTTTGCGTAACAGGTTGCGCCTGTACCTTTGAAGCAACAATACAGAGGCTCCGTAGTCTGAACCAAGACAGCACATTTTCTCACTCCTTCCAATCTTGACAAAGGCAGCACAGACCAGATCCACTCCCACTGTTCTTACCTTTCACAATTAAAGCCCTAGACATATAATATTAGCAGGCAAGCATTTCACATTTTCGTGTCATTTATTCGTCACACCCCTGGTCTGTTAAGGCCTTGATACTTTAGGACTATATTTAAAATGAGAAAGCTTGTAACAGCTTGATAAGACACAGCGGCGATGCTATTCCATAGCTAGACTTGCTCAGTATCTTTTTGAGCACATCACTAACGTGCAGTAAACTCAGATTGAGCTTGATCCTAGTTTGCTTTGAGACAGTTTGAAACAAATTGTGTTCTGAAGAGACGGCAGGACTCTCAACAATGAACTGTCTGAATTGCATTGAGAGGTATTCAATGAGAAGCAGCTATGCCACTCTGCTCTGTTTTCCTGTAGACCCAGGATGAATGAGAATAAGCCTTGAAGAAGCTCCCCAGGGTGCTGGGCCCGCCTAATGCTTGCAGATTTGTCGTCGTTCGGTGTCTTTGTGACTCGTCTTTTCTATCTCTTTCTCTAATTGAGAGCATCTGTTGTTTGTTGTCCACCGTGTTTATGAGTATGATGTGTGCAGGGCTGTGCGATTATGGCCAAAAATGACAATCAGAATAGCTTTTTTATCAATGTTGAGATCACGATTAGTTATCACGATTATTCGTTGATTTTAGGGCCAAAATATTTTCATTTCACTTTTACATTTTAAACAAACAGAGCACTGCTTTCGCTTGTTTGTCGTGCTGCGTTCAAATCTTTGCATCAAAATAAGACTGAAAATAAGGTTCTTCTTCACATGAATTCAGTGCATTTTAGTTTTGCCCATCTGGTAATACGGTATATTACTTCTCTACGCTGGACTGCAGCAACGACGCGACAGCTCCCCAAAAGTGAAGCCATCTCGATCGCCCTCTAGTGGCTTGCTGTTAGTTTAGAAAGCGCTTGAGTTGATATGCAGCAGAGTTTCTATAAGCGGAGCACGCATTTGAAAGGTCAATATCACAGTCGATCATGTTCATTTAATTGTAGGAAGACAAAATTGTGATTGCGATTAATACTTGATTAATATGCAACCCTAGTATGTGTTGTGCTCTCAGGTGTACATTCATGTGGGAGTTCTTCTCACCTTCAGGGTTTATCCAAGGGCAAGGGCCCTGACATACACACATTCAGACACACACACACACACACACACACACACACACAGGGCCAGATATATTCCGTTTTATAGGCCTGTCTCCTTGACATCTGCCTTCTCTTTGTGCAGTATGCACAGATGCCTGCTCATAGATTTTATCGTCTTTTGCCTTCTCACAAGGTTATTTCAGGTTAAAGTTACTTTCTTTGAAAGTAACATTTAGCACCAAAGTCAAAAAAGGAACCAGATAATACAACCACATGCACAATCAAAAGAAAAAAAACTCTTTATAGCTAGATAACAGTTATAGGTCTCTTTAATATCTTGCTAGTCACAAAGACAACAGGGAGATGTATGATTCTCCTTTTCTTCCTCCGTGCACTCTCTGAGCGTTCTCAGACATTGCAACCAACCAAGCCAATGGTTGGATGTCCTCCACCTCAGCAACCCCATGGTCATGACCTGGAAGTGCTTATTTGTTTCCCCATAAGTAGGCCTTTGCTTCCTCAGGCCACGTTCTCATCCCGCCTGGTGGGTTTGCTGTCACAGAGGGAGTCAAGCCAGGACGACATACTATTTAATTAGGCTTGGTAACGCACCAGTGGATTGTGGTTAACCTCACCAGACCCCTCTACCTCCACATTGATTCATTTGGCCTCTCATTCCTCCAGCGCACACTCCCATCTAACTCCAGCCAATTAAAAAAGTGAAGTTAACGACTTGGTTAATTGATTTGCTATACTGTATGCAGATTAAGACAGAAAAAGAAGAAAGACATTTTTAAACTCTGCCTCCCCATCTGTTTCTTTCTTCTTCCCTCCCCTGTATGTGTGTGTATCACTATCTCTCACTCATTACACTATGCTCTCATTTAACTCCTTTGTTCTTTCAGTTTGTCATTGTATGGCACATACTCATTGCCATCCAGAGCGATATACCTCATTCCCCTCAGTGTTTTTATTAGTGTTATGATCACAATATATGATTACCACTTGCCCACTTTACAAGCATTAAGGGGCGAAAATAGTAGATTTACTGATATACAGCAAAAGCTTTACATTTTAACAATGCGAGGAGAGTATGTGACGGTGTTTTGTTCTTTATTTGAGGACACGGAAATTCCCAATTTAAATAACTCGCAGAGTTTGTAAAATGATCATCTATGAGGCAGGTGCTTTGGCCCATCACATATTGAGGCACAAAGCAGAAGTATGAAATGAGCAATACAAAGAAAAGTACACTTAAAAATTAAGCAGCTTTAGGTGCAGTATACCTTTGATTATTGGATCCATTTCTTGTCCAATGATGCATCGATCATTACTCCTGGCCTGTTTCAGCTGACAAGACATCACCGCAAGGTATTTCAAATGTAAACAGAGAACATCAAGTTCATGTGTCAGTTTGTTAGAATCACAGTAAGGGCTTACAGACTCGCTCATGGTCAACAGTCAGGCAGAAATCCATCATATAAATTGAAGGCAACAATGCACCATTTGTCCACCTCCAGCAGCTGCAAGGCGTTCTGTTTGGAGCCAGAGATTTCAGCTTGTGCGGGGAAACAAAATCTTACTGTCGGAGCTCTTTCCAACTACACGCAGTGTGTAAGACGAAGATCGATGCAACAAGTTTAATGTTGCAGGGGAGCTGTCGAAAGGCATACAGAGAAAAGAGGGTATTCAACAAAAGAAGTTATTTACACAGAAATATAGTAAAACAACTCCTGACTCATGAGTCAGAGTGTTGCCGAGATTAATCTTTCTTTTAAGTCTTGGGCATGGGTAATGTTAAAACTGTGAGAGCAAGGAGAGTAGGATTTGATTGGGGCTAAGTGAGGCAACAGAGAGAACAAAGGACAGAGCAGGGGAACTGAACCAAGAAACGCTGGGAAGAACCAAGGGAAGTGTTGGGAGATGGAGCCCCCTGTGGGCTATCTAAACTTGTGTCTGTTTACAACTGTGGGTGCCAAAACCAACTCTGCATTAATTTAGACGATTCACATGAGCACGTACTTCAGACACACAAATAATCCTCCTGTTCTCTGGCTGTGAAGTCGGCATTCATTTGTGCTGCGCCCTACCCCCCTTCGTCTCTCAGTGATTACACTTTCTTTAAGAAGCAGACATCTCCCTGGTGAGCGGAATTTATTAATAAATTTGGTTTTGATTGTATGCACCAAAGCCCCCATCATGAGCTGATTTGTATACATACTAGCGCATTAGTATATGTGCCTACCACAAGATAGGCCTTTTGAATAATTAATGTTTCTATTAAGTGCCATGGTGCCTCCCACCATGGGCCATTAATATTGAAGAGATGTAAGCCCCTGCTAACAGCAGAGGGAACGACATCAAATGAAGCTGGGAGTTGGATGGGCATATGAAAGGCATCTTCTCAATAGGCTTTGGCCGTGGCTTCTGTATGAGTTTACAGTATAGTAAAGAGGCTTCCCTGCCTCCCAGTGACAGTGAATATAAACATTTAGCTGTTGCCTTGGGATAGAACAAAGGTAGGATTCCCACACGGTGTATGCAAGCCTGTTGTTGATATTTTGCACACCACAGGGATGGTGGGCCCGTCAGTCAGTATCATCGTACAACTGAACTCTCCTCTCTGCTGTAACCCTGAGAGAGCAGCAGTACTGTATGTGTGCTACAGCTCATTAAACCAGCCAATAGAAGGAAGAACATGTTGCACAGTAAAGTAAGTCTTTAGCCAGACAACATGTGCAGTAAAATGCCAACACATGTCTACGTCTTGCAAGAAGATAAAGTGGTTTGTTTAAACGCGGCGCAAGTGTTCACACGGAGGAAAGCTCAGTCATCCACAAACAGACCCGTTACCCCATCATTCTGTCTGTTTTCTCCTCTATACACACTAAAAAACTCCTGTTCATCACGCCCCGTATCTCTTGGCTGACTACAAGACATTTAAGACCCCATAAAGTATTTAGGATGTAGTTTGTTAGGGAACAAGTGATCAGTGGGGGTTTTATCAAGCCCATTAAATGCTACTCACAATTAAATGTGACATGCTCGAATTAGTCTGAGCAGAGTCCAAAAGACAAAGAGATTAGCTGCAAGCTCCTAAATTGTATCCAGTGCTATTTCATTTCAGAAGCAAAATATCCAGCTGTGGAATCTACAACTCAGAGCTTCAAGGATCCTGTTGCAATAAATGTGTATACTAAACAAAACAGGGTTCCCGCAGATCCTTAAAGTCTTAAAAAGCATTGAATTCATTGGTATAAAACTTCTGCCCTAAATGGTATTGAAATGTCTCAAAACAATCGTTCAAAAGTCTTAAAAATGCTTAGAATTTTTTTTTTTTTCTGACATTGCAATTTTGCAATCTTAAAATGTAACCTCACCAGATCAGGATAGAGCGACTAATAACACGGCCAGAATGCTCAGAGTAGACACACTGTCTGCTAGGTAGCGTCGACATGGGGAAGTGCAAATTCAATGAAAATTGGTTATTCAACCAAGATTTCATGACATGCCTGAAACCTGTACAGGGCAATGTACTGTGTATGAGGCACAGTGTATTTTGAGCAGAGAGTGTCTCAAACTTGGCACGATGGGAGTCAAGGCAGTGGAATCCAGCACGCAGAGCGAGAAACATGAAACTGCCAAGCCAACCAGCCATCGTGTAAATTATTTCCCAGTTCTGTTCTGCCGCTTCTATTCTTCGATTTTGGTTATTGTAGAGTGGCATTAAAAGAATCTAAAAAACTCTTAAATCTAACTTGTAAACTGTAAGAAAGGTTGCTAATACAGAATGTGCAGTAAGAATGCTGAAATTGTATATTTTCACAGTAGGTGGGGTGATGAAACATTATTAGCTGTGAATTGTCTCGGAGAGTGCCATTCAGCTCGGTCAGCTGCTGCAGTTACAGGGACATGCTAGGCTTGCATAGCCCGAAGGCAGCAGTATTGCTCTCTGCTGTATGTATTGAGTTTAGCCTTGGCTGCATCAGCACAACTTTCCCCACCATTACTTCAGCTGAATAAGTCAACACCGCACTGGCAGATACCCCCAGGCGGTTCACGTTGACGGCCATTTCGCTGCGTCTCCATAGTTTTTCTTTTGCTCAAACTAGCAGATTATCCTCGCAAAGGAGCCACGTTATATTGCCTCTCTTCTCAATTTAGGTCATCTCATCCCTCTTAAGTCTTTCTGTGGTTGTTGCCAAATCCTGCGGAATGGTTAAAGGAAGTAGTGGTGGTGAAGTGGCCAATACTTTGATCCCCTGAGCTGCAGAAAAAAGATCATGCTACAGAAAGCACAAGAGTGGGAGCGGGGAGTGCGATGTGCAGGCTGCCTGGCTGTTTGTTGGGAATTACCCTCTATTGACAGTGTGACAATGCCAGGCGGGCAGCAGCACTGCTCTTAAAAGGATTACACAGAGAGCGTGGCATGGCAGCACTGGGTGGGAATGGGGGAGCAGGAAGGGCGGGAGGGTGTGCGATGCATGTCCAATGAGGCTTCATCTTACGCTTCCCTCTGAAAGTCTGTATGTTAAGACAAACAAGCACGCCGGTGCTTAGAGGACGAGGATGTGTCACCCAGCCCAGGGGGAGACGAGGTGATGAAAGACAGAAAGCAAAAGAGTGAAAAGAAGCCGCTGTTGCAGTGAAACATAGAGACAAACTCCACCCTTCTAAAGATTATCATCACATGAATGGAGTGAGTTCCCTCTGGTCTGCAAAGGTCATCAGAATCTGGTTTACAGGCAATCAAATCACAGTCCCCTGTAACAAGGAGGTTGCTTTATAGATTTAGTGCCTGTGTTTTGTGTAAGAAATACAGACACAGAGACAAAGAGCAGCACGTCTCTCCCAGCCTGGAGACATCAGTGGCGTGAGTCTTTGAAGTGGTTCTTTTTCTACGATCCGCTGATGAATCAAGGCTCTATCTGCCAATGGGGAGCTCAGTCAAATGGGTTTCATGCATGGATTAAAGCCTTCCTGTGCTTGGTCCACCGTGGGAAGAGCTCCATTTCAGCCTCAAAAGTAGAAGGAGGAGGTCTCCCAAGCTTTTAGCATGCCCATCTGTGATACAGCACTGCCGCCCTGTCACCATACCTGCCTCACCTGTCATCCATCATGGCTGATAGGACTGAACAGAGTGGCATCCACGTTCCCTCTGTTGCTCATCCCATTTTCTCTGCCCCATTCTTTCTTTCTGTCCCTTTCTGTTTTCTTCACTCTCTACTTTTCCACTCCCCTCTTTCTCTCTCTGTCCTATCTCCCCTCTTCTCTCTCTCTCTCTCTCTCTTGTTCTCTCTCAGGCCCTTGCATTGCTTATGTAACCATCACTAAGTCTACTCGAATAGCTGCTGCCATCGCCTGACATGGATATATTTAGCCATTATGTTTTTCCCCCCCTCTATACCCTGCATGCCCAAGCAGTGCTAAAAGATTCATGTATTCAGACCCCTCAGGCGGTGCAGTGACACACTTACTTTACATCCAGAGCAATTAATGTCCACTGAATCTAGATTACAATGCCAGCGTCCCACAGGGAAGCCGCAATGCCCTGGTGGGTGTCGGGGGTTGGGAGGGGAGGGTGTACAGCACCACTCCAAGGGTCGGCCTCACGTGGCACTTTGCGGCTCAGTAAGCGGGCACAGCTCTGACTGACTGTTGTTTTTCTTCCCCTTCTGCTTGCATGGGCAGTAATAGCGTATTGATTGTTTACACAGCAGCTCCACACAGCAAAGGGACCGTCGCCTCCTCCCTGCTGCCCTCATCTTTCTTAGCCCCCTCTCTCTCTCTCTCCTTTACTTCCCTGTCCACCGAACCTTATTGTCTACTCTCTTGTTCTTTCTTTATTTCCATCCTCCTTTTTCCTCCTCCTCCGCTTCTCCTCTCTTGTTTAAAGGGCTGGATGATGGCCAGGTCGGAGCCTCAACGGGGCTCTGCAGCACAGAAGGCAGTGTGGCACCCTGTGCCAAGGTCATGCTGGGTAGCCATATTGTATTTTATGAAAAGGTGATCTGCACTAAGCATTAATATGGCACCATGTTGGATTTATCATCTATGGCAACAGCAGTAGTTTATGAGCACGGACCGATCCAGAATGTTAAATTAAATGTTAAAGTTGTGATTTAAAATGTATTGGACTTACTATCGTATAGTCTAAAGGAAGGAGTTGTTGCAGAAGTTTTAAAAGTTGTGTTTGTGTGTATGGATGCCATATTTAGACCAGTGCCATTAGCTAGTGTTGTGATTAGAGCATGCTCCTGGCACAATGACTCATGGCATGTTGTTCTGTGGATGCAGGCGTGGGGAGTGCTCTTAATTGCTTTTACAGCCACCTGGACCGTATGAGCGTATTCACCCTTGAGCATCCATGGAAACCTGTTCCCATTTATAATGTCAAGACAGTTCCAAGAAAACACCATTTCATTTCACTTTTCAGTCACCAAAACGTTTACAAAATTTCTCCCCGACTCATTTTTTACTGTGTGCTCTGTAGGTGACCCCAGTGGCTGGACCGCCAGAGGGAGGCACACGGGTGACCATCCATGGCACAAACCTTGGTCTGGCCTTCTCGGACATGGTGGGCAACGTGGAGGTGGCTGGGGTGAGGTGCACCCCTGTAGAGGATGGCTACATCATCGCTGAACAGTAAGCACGAGTATTATTATTTAAAAAACTATTGTTATTTAGTTATATGCTGATTGTAAATCAGATGTGTAGAAATACCTTTGCTGGCCATTTCTCCTGATAGGCAATACAGAGCTATGAGAATGAATGAGCTATGAATTTACTCACGTTAAACTGTAGTTTTAATATAGTGTACGGAGTGTAGCAGCTAACAAACTCTGATCGATGCTGCTCTACCCAACATCTCTGCCTTAATGAAGTGTGGAGCAGGTCCAGACAATCTGCCCCTGACATTGCTGTTCTCCCCCTGCAGCACACTAGCTTGGTTCTCTCTCTGTAGCTCATCTAGTCAGCAAGCAATCCCACAACAGCTGTGTGTGTTTACTTGTGTTTACCTCCCTAATTGTCCCACGCTGTGCATGCATCACGCTAGAGCCTGTCCCGCTCACCCTGAACTAATGAAACGTTGCCCATGCTTCACAACTTGCCCATCTCCCAGAGTGCGTGTAGATTGAGAAACCCAGTGCCTTATGGTTGTTCAACCTCCCCAGGAGATGCAGACCTCGCAAGGGAAAGGCAAGGATATCACCCACATACTGCTAACTAAGATGCTTTACCCTAATTCTATACATTTTGGGATTTGGTTTCATTAGTGAGGGAAATGCAGTGCTTAATAAAAAAAGATAAAAAGAGATCATGGCCACTGTGAACTTTTATTCTCATAGAAATATTGTAGTGTGTTTTTTTACGGATGATAAATGCTCAGATGACAAATGCTCAAAAATAATCACACGATTAAATTTCAGTTAGTGTGAAATTCTCCATTGACTTTGAGTCCGTTAGAGGACACTGAGGCACAGCTGAAACGCATACTCGTACGCACTCATGTAAACTCACACACAAGCTATCACAGTCACGGCTCTCGGAGGAGACTTTAAGCCTGATTCTTTCTTTGGCCTACTTCTGCCCTCAGAAAGAGAACAGCTCAGCACTGCACCAATGCTGTAACACACATACTGTCAGCGTTATAGTGCTGTTACAATACATATGTCACACGCATACCAATCTCTATAAACAGATTATTCATTCTTATGCAGAATGCGAAGGCAACAGGACAAGATGTAGTTATCTGAAGCGTTCTGGTTACCGTTTGTGTAGTGTGTGGTATTATCCAATCACGTTTGAGCAGGCTTTGGTTAAATGCAGGTAAATAGTCCACCTGGAGAGCAAAACCGGTGGAGCCGAAATGGAACCCACCGAGGATTTTCTGACAATGATTTAGCTTTTTATTGGTTTAAAATTAGCTTGTAAACTGGCTACTTTTGAAACAATCCGGTGGTACACGTCATCTCTCAACTCCAACTCCGGGGTTCCAAGATTTCACACATACATGCACAATTGCTATTGATTAACTATTTATTTTTGATAATTACATTTTCCCCTTTTGGTGGTATTTGAAAGATGTTAGAATGAATAGTGTGGATGACACAGAGTATGTCTTTGTGGTTCCTAGCTCTTCAATGGGCAGTTGTAATTAAAACTCACTATGTGCCACTTGGCTGTAGGGGACAATTTGTCAGCAGTGCACTGATCTGACACCACTTTAATCCAATTAGGGACAAGCTAGGGAATTCATTTATATGGCATATTAAAAAAAAAATGTGCAAAATTAAAAAACTAACCTCTGACCCCTTTAGTCTAACTTTGAAGGAGGTGGAGTCCTCGTGATGATGTTTCAAGCTGTACTTTTATTCAGAGCCTTTTTGGGTCATATTGGCTGTATAGGTTCAATATGTGCTAGGGATGCACCGATCCCACTTTTTCAGTCCTGATACAAATACCTGGACATCGGGTACCGGCTGATACTGAGTGCTGCTATTTATAAGAATAATGGTTTCAGATACCAATTTGGCACATTGTCACTGATACTCGATCCAGCTATTTCAGTCGGTATCGGACCGATATCAGATATCGATACCGATATCGGTGCATCTCTATTATGTGCGTGTCCTTATCTGACTGTTGCTGTTACTGTTGTTTGTTTTGAGTCTTTATTCAGTCACCAGGATGGACTGGACTGGATCGGACAAAAAAAAGTGTCCCTCATGGTACCACTTCAGAAAAGTGTGTGAAATCCACTGTGGCTTTGAAGAAAAAGTCTCAACTTTTGTGTTATTCAGCAGCCAGAAAGTAATTTATTTTCCAGAGCGCTGATACTACTCGGCAGCATTTTATTTTTTATGGTGGCCAAATTGTGTCCTCATTAGAATTTGGTTTAAATTGGTGTAAAGTAACCCTCAGGTTTTACGGACAGAGCAGGTCTCTTTATGGACACAGAGAGGACACAATTGAATTTTCCATTTTGAAAACCTATTCCCATAAATATGCCACTTCACAAAGGACCAGTATAGTTGGCCTTGAGGTGGGGAAAGCAAGTGAGTGTCTGTGTCTCTGAGGCCATGTTTGAAAAAAATATCAGTTCTGTCAGTGAGTAAATCCTCCTTTAGCCACTGTCTTCCACATATTTCATCCAACAAAGCTCTCAGTCATTTGGGTAACACTTTATAATAACCGTCACTATTCAATGGTCAATTTATAGTTCATTAAATTTAAGTTGATTGTTTTTTACTGTTAACAAACTGTAAAAATGATTATTAATAATAATTAGTATAAACTATATTATGAATTACTTTATATTGTATCATAGCTGAAAAAACACTAACAATAATATTCTGATTACATGAGTAAACTATTAACAGTTTATTGTTGCACACACTATAACATTTTATAAAACTCCGTTAAGTATTTGTTAATTATTACCAAAATATTTGCAAACCTTTAAGAAATCATTTGTAAAACATCTATAAATATTACATAGATAGATGGACCAGAAAGCAATTATAAACCATTGACATAGTATTACCTCTCTATCTAAATAATGTTCATAGATGTTGTTTTCTTTGTGTTTTTTACAAATAATTTCGTCATCGTTAAAAATACTTAATATAACATCTTATAATGTGTGCAACAAGAAACTGTTACATAAATTATAGCGGTGTTGATAATTTGTTAACATTTTTAATCACCATTCATGGATGATGGTTATTATAAAGCGTCACCATCGCGGGTTGTAATTCAGATGATCAGTGCTGCAGAAACAATATTCCTACTCCGATTCTGCTCCTGCCATGTGCCTCGTCACCACGTATCCCATCTCTCTCCATCCTGTGATTGTGTCTTGTACTTTACTACTGCCTGGCACCACTGATCTATAGACGTCCTCGTTTTATTATATCATTTGATCTAGTCACCTGCAGCGCTTTGGTCTCACCTGATCACATGGCACAATAAATCTGTATTGATCCCGCTGCGTGATTTACGTTAGATGTACCGCGCTGGCACAGCACCAGAGCAGTCGGGGGGGGGTGCCTTGTTGTTGGTGGGAAATTTACTTCAACCAGGTTGGGTGTGCTGTAGTGCCAAGGGAGGAGGAGCACCGGTCTCATTTAAAGACTGTCATCGAGGGGGTCCTGGTCGATGCCTGGATGTGTCCCGTAATGAAATGAGTGAGACAACAAAAGAAGATTGCGTTGCGAGTGGAAGATGAATCGATATCAAGCAGAGAAGTGTTTTGATTACTTTCTCGCAACTTCTCTCAAGCGTTTAAACCTACAGGCAAGTTCTGCGCTTTAAGTTATTTCTTAAGAAAGATTGAGTTCTCTCCAGTCCAGCTGACATTTTACAAATAGCCAGTATTTTCTTTTCTTTTTTCATCTTTATTATGTGCAGTGATCTTTTTGAATTATTTTGTGTCTTTTTATAGGATTGTATGTGAGATGGATGCCGCTCCTGCAGAGAGTCGCCCTGGTCCAGTCCAGCTGTGCGTTGGAGAGTGCAGACCAGAGCTCAGGGCTCGCTCCTTGCAACTTTACTCCTTTGTGGTATGACTGGAATAACTCTGTATATGATAAAACATTAGTGAAATGTGCTCTACTCAGTGTGAGACAAACTAAGTGTTACAAAACATGCAGTTAGTTCAATTACCTTGGAAAGTAATTGTTTATGCGCCACAGGCCAATAACGATGTGTGAGTTGTCATGCTTACCGGCAGCGTAATTAAGCTGCGCTTATGCTTGCTTCTTATTTGGGAAATAACATTCTTCCATAAACAGCACAACGTTTCCAGTAATGATCTCTGCAGCTCTCTGGTGGTGGATGCTCTTTGCTTTTATTGAGATAGGATCATGAAGCAAAATTAATATTGCGTCGTATAGAAAACAGTTTTGCAAATCAATATATTCTTTACAACTCACTTGCTGCATAAAGTTCAGCATTGCTTAATGGATGGGGAAAAAAAGAATAATAATAATCTTGCGGTGCTTTAGGTAAATTCCTTAGGCAATAGCTCGTAGATGAAGTGTGATTGAATGGTTGTGCGTGGTCATAAGAGAGAGAAAGACATGAACAATCAACTTGCTGAAATGGAAAGCAACGCTCCCCTCAGCAGCTAAACATTATCTACTCCCCATTCTCACAAGTTCGCGCACACATTTCCCCGTCTCTGTCATTTGCTGTCTGCGCAGCCTGCAGCTAACAGATAATCTTCGTTTTTGCCGTTTGCGCTCACTCACACCTTCACAATTAGCACTCCCTTAACAATTAACAGCAGCCAGTAATTACCCCTGTTGCTTTCAGGTTACCTGCTTTTGCGTGCATCCTTGGAAGTCACACTTAGCTGACAGTTTTGATCGATGCTCTCGGCTCTGCAGTAAATGCTATAAAACAAATGTTCTCACCAATGTTACAGCTGCTACTCTGGGAAGCAGTGGAGCTATCAAGAGAATAGTTTGCGGAGCCTAGAATTGGCACCACTTGCAATTCCCTTGTATTGCAGGCCACCTAAAAGAAAAAACGACACCATCACAGAAGCGTTCTTCAATTTCCCCGACAAGACACACTCCCTATGTGACTGTCTTTTCCAGCCTGCAACACTTATGCGTGTGTGCTTGTGTACATGTGTGTTTTGCGATATGACGGGCTCTCTGCTTGGATATTTCTCCATCTGTCTGTGTGACGGTGGGCTAGCTGCCTGCAGCTGTAAACACTGGTTATTTTCAGACTGTTTTTAAAAAGCTTCACTCAAACATACACAGGAGGAGGATCTCTCAGGGACTCTAAGAGCTCCCGGTTTGATCCTCTTTTCTCCCACCAGCGCTGCACTCTACTGCCATCGGCCTGGCAATATGAATAACTGTAATTTGCTTGGGATCTGTGATAATACGTGAAGGTATCAAGAGGTACCGCAGGAATGCTGCCCTTTTTGCCACTAGAAAATGTCCCGTCTTTTAGTCTGCTTTGTTCTTTCATTCTGCTCCTTCCCTCTTCCTTTAATGTGCTCTCTTACCCTGCATCTCTCTGTTTTGTAGATTCCCACAGTCACAGGTCTGTCCCCTAGCAGAGGTCCAGAGTCCGGGGGCACGAAAGTAACGATAATGGGAGAAAACCTTGGTGCCGGCAGCAGTGTCAACGTTCAGTTTGGAAACCAGACATGCGAGTTCTTTGGGTGAGACTTTCCTCTTGTGGTCGTGCTTTTAGAGGCCCATAAAGGTTCATTTGCTTTAACAGCCAGCCTGCGTGATCGTGCTTTTGCTAAAACAGACTATTCATGGCTATTTTTATCGCACTTTAAGGTGAGGGGGAAATGAATTCACTAAAGTGCAAATGAAAGACACACATTTGGAATTTCACAGTCTACAGTTCCATCATTACAGTGTAATATGGATATAAGGAAGTGAAACAGATCCACTCACTGTGAATGTTGAATTGTCCCATACATTAAGTTAAAAAATGAAAATCAACAGCAACATTTCATGGTTTGTTCGTCTTTGTTTTCTGTTTTCCTTCAGCACCTACAGCATTTATGCCTCATACAACAAAAAATATTTACAGCTATTATCACAATTCTTTTGACTCAGTGTCTCTTTCACTTTTTTGAGCTGCTACATACATCACTGTCAGACAACGTTAGATATATGGCATGCTGTGAGCAAATGAAAAAAGGACGAAGAAAAACAAGAGCTCTTGTTCCCTAGATGACGGTGTGTATTACTACCGTTAAAGAAGCTGCTATATTTCACGGCTTTCTGGTATTTCTTCCCCCTTGATATTACTGAGAAATCCCTGAGGGGAAAGCCTCTCTCTCTCTCTCTCGCACTCTCCCTCTCTCAGAAACTTATGTAATTCTTAATAAGGTTTTGATGACCTACTGCATTAAACTCTGTAATAATAGCTTTCAGAAAACCTGGAGCTCCTATGGATCTTTCTTATTTTCTATCCAACCCCCTCCTTCACATTCTATATTTCTATCAATTTGTTCATCTGGTCACACTCCCCTGTTTTTCTTTATTCTCTTGTCTCTCACGCTCACAGTTTTCTTCCATCTCACTCCACCCGTGCCTCCTTCCCTCTCTTAGTTGCTCTCACACGTCCTCCTTCTACTTTCCTCTGCTGTAGGCATCTATTTTAAGCCCCACCACAGTAGTCTGACTGTAATGTTGTAAGGTTGAGGAGTCAAGCCAGCTTTAATGAGATATGGGGCTAATTACTGGTTTGTGTTTCTCCACTGTATTCTTGGCATGGGAAGGGAGAGGAGGTTGGGGGGCCGTTCTAGTACAAGCTCTCTGCTAATGAATTAGGAGAAATTCAGGGGGGGGGGGGGGCCTTGGAGAGGGAGGGGAAAGCATTCTTATATAATAAATTAATAATAATAAATTGTGCTGAATAAAGTGTTTTCTTTAGTTCTACTTTTCAAAACATGTAGATACTTTCTGCACTCATGTATAGCTTTTCATACACAGATGTCCATTACTCTATATACATTTTGAAATAATTCCTGTTTGTGCTTCACTTGTAGACGGACCATGACGGAGATAGTGTGCTACTCCGCCCCTTCCCTGTCTGGGGTCGGCCAAGTGCAGATCAGCGTGAGCGTGGACCGCGCCCAAATCAGGGAGAGCCTCGCCTTCGAGTACATAGAGGACCCAACCGTCCAGCGCATCGAACCAGACTGGAGCATTGCAAGGTAAAGTCACGACACTTGTCTCGTAGGATTGCATCATAAAGACTTCACAGAATGTACTTGTGGGATGCCATTTTATATCCACATCCTTGCCAACCAACCCTGCGCTTCTGTCACCCAGACTAAGGATTTCCTCCCACCACCAGTCCAGGCCAGTGGCAATAAGCAGACTCGAGTCAATATTGCACTTTCAATTACTGTTCGGTTCTCTTCCAATTAGTGTGGATCTGATAGAACTGCCACAGCTCACAGATTGGGGAGGATAGTTACTGTTGAGGCTGAGATTCTCCTATCGAATTCAATGTTGATCCATGTGTTGAAGGACTTTGGCAGATAGACACATTCACTACTAATTAAAAGGAAGAGAGGGATAAAGATGAAATAGCGGCTTAGTAGAACAATGTGCTATCAGAGGTGTGAGTCTACAGCAGATGGCTTGGGCTTAGAGACAGAGTGTAGGCGACGCTGCAGCAGAAGTGTGATGGCACAGAGGGAGAAGAGAGGGGAAATGAAGGAAGGATCATCATATTGGTCATCTCTCTTTGCTTTGTAGATGGATGGATAGATAGATAGACAGATGGAGAGATACTTTATTTCGACAAAGAGAGAGCAGAGGTCAGTGTGTGAGTATAGCATATGTAATTTATAAGCCTATAGATAGCAAAAGGTCCATCTATGGTAACTCACTATACACAGTTTTAAAGTGAACCCATAACAGCCTAATAACACAGACCCATCTGACATTTATTATTGCAACAGCTCTTGTCTGGTACCATCTTTATTCTGCATGCCACATTGACAGGCGCAACAACACAAACAACAAACATCACCAACAACCCAAACAGCTGCAGGGAGAGATGCATACCCAGCAGTTTCCCCTCCTGCTTTGTTTGCGTGCTTTGTTTGTGCTGCTGTGTTGTGAAGCGCAGGACTACCACTGCATCCTTATAAGCTTGAGTTGCCTTGGTATTTCAAACGCAAATGTGCACCAGTTGATTGTAGCCGGCGAAGTCAGATAAAAAGCATCTCTAATCATCCGCCACTCCAAAGGATATTATCTCCTTAAAGAAACTGAGGATGAAAGGCGGTTTGATGCGCTCATTTTTGACTGATGGCGAATATTCAGACGAAAGATATACGTCTGGGTTAGTAAGTTTAGTCTAGAATGGCCTTTGAATTACTTTGTTTCTTTATGTTTTTATTTTTTTCTTACTTTATTTTTCTTTCCGTTTCGCTGACTCCCTTTTAGTCTTTCTGTCTTTCTGTCCTCTTGGATTTTTGAGACAGAGAAATGAGACGTCTTTTGACAAAGATGTTTATTTAAACCCTCGGAGTAAATTGGGTGCTCTTGTGTTTTTCCTCAGCGGCCACACACCCCTGATGGTGTCGGGGACCAATTTGGACGTGGTTCAGGAGCCCAGGATCCGTGTCAAATACGCCGGCAGAGAGTCTGTCAATGTAAGAACCACTACACTGTCTTAACCATAGAGCAAGTACAGAAAGTACTCCTTCAATACACCTACTACATGCTGGAAAATGTATGCTAACAAGGTCCTGCTTGACTCACCCAAATACTGCTATACAAGCAAGCTAAGTGATGTTTAGCTAGGATAAAAAAAAAGTACTATCTCTGCTAACAGCCCCTCCAGCTTTCTACGCTTCCCTAACTTTCGCTTAAACCCAGTTGTCTCAAGCACTCCAACGATCATCTGAATAATGCAGCTGACAGTGAGAGTGGTCTGTATGCAGTATTTAATTAAGAGTTTATCCAAATTTTCTTCAGGCTAAATCACAGCTCCACAGCTCCAGCTCCCCACCTGTCCTGTTGTGCTTTAGTGTCACACTAGTCATCCTGAACAACGTTTGTACTTGTTTAAAGGGAGGCACTACAAGCAAAAACATATTTTCTTATGCTCTGATCAATTTTGATATTTGGGGCTAATTTGCTGAATGTAGTGGAGAGAGAAAACAAAATACACATTTAGCTGTTTATTTTACTACACTTTTTACTGTTTGCATCTGTAGAACTCTCCTTAATGCACCAAAAGTTAGTATTAGATAATGCCTTGTTTGCATATTTAAACATAACATTTCTGGAAACTTGTAATACAGAAAATAGTTGTTTTGGTTTTACCCTATTTGCCTGTAGTGTCTTGCAAAATGTATGGAATTTTACCAAAAATCTCTTGAAAGGCAATTTTCTCAAAATTAGGTTTTTTTTTCAAACCTGTGACTTTAATATATTTCTTGAATTACTGTATATGCAAATTAGGACACACATAAGATACTGCCTAATTTGCATATTTAAACATAATATTTCAGAAAACATCTTATACAAAAAATAATTGCCTTAATATAATTAATCAGCTGGGGAAGTTTCATTGCGATATCTATTAGTTGTAATTTTCACCCTATTCATCTCCCCCTGTTCAGGAAAAATAAGAGTCAAGGACAGCAGGAAAAAGGGGTGTGGGTGGGTCATTGTTGGAGGTGTGGATGATCAGGGCCAAGGAGACTCCTAATGGGTTTCAATGGGAGATTAACTGCTTTCAGAAGTCTTTGGTCAGCATAAAGAGCTCTTGTATAATCAAAGTCTTGGCTGTGGGAAATCGTTACAAATTGCATTTGAGCCCCTGTCCTGGGGCTCCTTGTTTAATTAAGAGGATGGGATTTTCTTTCCGTGGTCTGGGGAAAGGTGGCGAGGGCAGACGAATGGACTTAAGTTGAGTATAAAGGATAAAGAGTGAGAGGAGGGCAGAAGGGGAGGATAGGTAAAAGAAAAGAGCTCAATACTCAGTACTGTTCTCCATATCAACACACTGTACTAACACGGCACAAACACTGTAATACAGTAGTTCCCAACCTTTTTTGGTGAGTTTTCAGCAGCTTAACTGAAGATGTATTTTGTATAATTTTTTTTTTTTAATAATTGGTAACACTTTAGCCCCCCTCTTAGCAATTTATAAATGTTAAATAGTTGTTTATTACACACTCCAATGTAGTTGTAAACCTTTATTAATGTCCTTATAAAAGGTGGTAATTGTGAATTTCAGAGCATTTCTATTGCCTCTCAACAGCTATCATAATGGCAACAGTGCTGCCAGAGCTAACAGTGTTTACCTGGGGAGGAACAGGAGGGGAGGCGCTACCCTTCTGTGATGACCCTGTCGGTTGGGGCAGCGTTATCAGCTGAAACTGCCGTTTGAGCGCAGTGCAAAGCGTTTGCTATAAGCTAGCCAGTGGAGCAGGCTCACATGCACTAACTTGCACACGTGGCCGGCCCGGCAATGTCAAAAAAGCACAGAGAAGATCTGATAACAAGAAAGACTTCATTCTCTGCTCAGGTAGACATCACTCCACTATATCTTTACACAGCAAATAGTTGTTTGCTGCTATATTAATGCTCTGAATAACGAATGGAGAACTTTTAATGTACAGCATTTATCAATAATTCAACTTCTCTAATAAGCACATATTTTATATAATTACAACTGGGTTATGTCATATTGTAATTCACTATCAGCAGATTTTGATTTTCTTATTTTCTCTATTTTGCAAAGATCCATCAGAAAACTTGACAAAATATACACTGCACGCAGACATTCATTCACAATCTACACTCACGCGTTTACTGTAGCGTAAATAATTGGGAAACATGCAAATTGGCACATACTTAAACCAGTCTCACACATTACACTCTTGTATATAGCCTCCTAAATCCCATGCCTCATTTATAGAATCTCAGGAGAGTTTAGTACACATGCATGCATAACCAAAAACCTCCTCAATGCCACGTCTCGTTTGTAGAATCCCACACAGATTTGTCCCAACATGCCTCTTCCCTCTCTGCAATTCCAACCTCCCATCCCTGACAACAGTATTCTAAAATTGGCCTTAAGTGTCTGACTTGCTCAGTGAATGTTGCTTTACTAAAAATCTAAACTGTGCCTTGGGCTTTTTCTGCTACAATATTACCTCTTATAAGGACACAGTTTCCCCAAAACACCTTTTGTGAGTTACAAAACAGTAGGGATTACAAGTAAGAGATAGATCTGGGCTGTTTTATGTTTAGAATAGAGAAGACTTGATGAGAGGGAGAGACTCCCAGAGACCTGGCGAAATGGGATTTGACTCACGTGTGCGCTGTGCTGTCTGGTTTGTCAGTTTCTGAGGCTTTGCAAGAGAGTTCTTCATCTCTGCCCTGGATCATTTCTTCCAACTCCCCCACCTAGGAGCTTGCAAAAGAAGCCTGTGTCAATGTCTTGATTGACCCCACAGCCACAGAGAATGAATTTCTATTAAATGCTAAGGTTACAATTACCCCCACCCTCCCTGTCTACCCGTTTCCCCTTTTGTCACTGGAGGAAGGCAAACAGCAGAGCAGCCTATAGCAATAAGAGCTTCTGTCTGTCAGCCAGCCTTCAAATGATCACCTGTCTCCCACTAAATTGCCTCTCTTCTCTCCCTCCCTTGTGTCACCTGCACAGATTTACAAAGAGACCGGGAGGAGGGGGGGGAGACAATTCTCTTTGTGAAATGCTCTGTATCTGTCACAGGTTTCACAATTGAAACATTTATCATAATCTTGATTCAAGCTAAAAGGGTTATTTTCCAGCTCCAGAACATTTCCCTGTCCCAGAAAGATTTCATCTACCCGCATTTGCCACACTTAAGACGCCTGGACTGAGTGTCTGCTCTGCTGCTGATCAGAGAACGTGTTCATCACGGGTGTGCCAGGCTCCTATCACGTCTCGGCCAATCAGGCTGATCGTCTGACTGATACACTGAGCACTGGAGGCGCTGATTATACTGCAGGCAACGATAATCGACGCTTAGAACATATATATACGACATTCATAGCATTGATATAGCAGCAAACAACCATTTGCTATGTAAAGATATAGTGGAGTGATGTCTTCCTGTGCAGAGAATGAAGTCACTCCCCCTCTGTGTGTGTTGTTATTCGAGCTTCTCCCCGTTCTTTGTTGGCCCGGCCATGCCTGCATGTTAGTGCGCGTGAGCATGCCTCACTGGCATCATGGCAGCATAACACCGTTATAAACACTAAACACTGTTAGCTCTGTCGGCATGTTTGCCGTAGTTTTTGCTGTTAGGTGTGTTAGCACTGGTAGCTACGAGCTAATGGCTTAATTAAGCATCGCTATGTTGAGAGGCAATTTAATTTGTGTAGTGCAGCTTCTTGACTTGACTTTTAAAGAAGAGCCACTTGTTGGTGCACAAAGCAGTGCTTATGGAGGACATTAGTCACAACTTTATCACAAGACATCCAGCAGATGATTTCTTTCACTTTCATCCTGAGAGGAAAATGTAAGCTACTGATTCTCTCTTTGCACTAGCTTAAATACCACACGGGTTCTTTATGGACAGATCGGAGCCGGAGTTAGAATTAATGCCAGTATAATCAGTTGGTTGGAATAGCATGGCAGACAGGAAGATAGACAGTGTAGGAGTAACAAATTACAGGATGGAACAGCCAGTGACTAGCTATCGAACGTTAGCCTCCAGATGACCTTTGACTGTGTGACCCCCCTCACATTTCTCCTACGCACATCTACACAGCCAGTCCATCTTATTCCTTCCTCCTCTCTCCCTCTGTCTCTCTCACTGCTACCCTGGCCAGAGACCTTTGAATGGTTGAGTGGGCTGTAGCAGCACAGTAGATCATGGTAATGTATTCAGCCAGAGGGGTTGGAGTGTTACTGCCTTAAAACACCCGGGCTCCATCCACCACTAGAGAAAGAAGACAGATGAGGCCAAGATTTCAATTATTTTCTCTATCTGTTGACCTCAATTCACTTTATCAATGCTGAACAATGTGTAGCTTCTTTCTGCACATGGCCTAAAGGACTGGATGTACAATTGTATACTTGTATTTTTTTTTATTGAGATAGAAAGAGCAAATACATGTTGTTTGGAGTCGGAGCAGTGACATGACTGTATATTGTAGTGTTCTGCTATGAAGTAAATCCAATTGTAAAAATGAATCTTGTGATCCAGAGTATATAGAAATCCAGTAATCCTTCTAAATCCTTTGTAGAGTATACAGAATGCACTAAATATTAGTATAAAAAAGTACTTAAAATCCATCTATTGAAAGGCAGAAGTCATGCTAAGGTGCTGTGATGTTCTGAAATACAGTCATTTATTGCCCCACCCACCTCATTTTCTTCATCAAATCCCACAATGGCCCATATACCCATCACTATTTACTTGCTCATCCATTGGATTTACAAACGTCACACTCACTGCCACGCTGCCTGAAAAAACACCCCACTATGAAAGCAGCAGTCTTCAACCCTGACAGGATTTATTTAAGTAAAATGGAGAGAGAAAGTGAGGACAGTGTAGGAAAAAAAAAAACCACAGTATCCATCTCTGGCAGAGCAGATGGTAGTCAAAGCTGTAGTTGACTTGCAAATGCCTCGCTGTTCCAACGTGACAGTCACGAGGATGCTGCCGGAGCATCTGGGCCTGTCTATATAACATGTCACCATGCAAACAGTAAGAATATATCAAACTTTACGTGAACCCCTTTGTCCGTTAAACCTTTTAATTCCTACAAACTGATACTGAACACACTTTATGAGAGGGTAAAAAAAAAATTCACATGATCTTTCCCAATGCCGTATATAAAAAAAACATCATTCATCCTTGAATGAAAGGTTAAATTATTGAAAACAATAAGGATGATTATTAGTTGCAGCCTAAAGTCATACACATGTGATGTATGTATGCACACAGTGTACCCAAGTTCTTGAATTTATTTTCACCTTTTAATTGATTGCTGTGCATATTGAAAACACACAAACACTCTAAAGCAGAGGTCTTCAACAGGGGGTCTGCGGCCCCTAGGGGGTCCACAGAGGTACTGCAGGGGGTCCGCAAACTTTTTGGTTAATTAGACAATTTAAAAATAAAAATAAAAATTTAAATTTTATTTTTCTCTAAACATGAATCTGTCCATTATTTTAATAGTTCAGTTTTGTATGAAAGATAACAGGTATCTTTATGCATGGCAGTGGCACTAATAGGCCATCACTCATTTTTCGTTTCCACATTTATGTTTAAAATGAAAATATCAATTTGAATAGCTTGTGTGCGTGATTATCATGCAATTAACAGACAATGTTGATATTGGCATTGGTATCAGCTGACGAGGTATGTTTCTAAATGGCAGTGGCACGGCCACCCTACTCACTGTACCTTGCACATGTTTAAAATAATAACATGAATATATGAACCTGTGTATTATTTGAATAGCTTAGTATTGAATGCACAATAAAGAGGTATACACGGTACTAGGCCCATTTAATATAAAACACAATTTTATACAATATATATAGTCGGGGGTCCCTGCTCCAGCTCTCTATCAGTTTGGGGGTCCTTGGCCTGAAAAACGTTGAAGACACCTGCTAAAGTCTATATCCAAGAACAAAGTAAGTAAGGAGACCAGTCCCTCCTTTCACACCAACACTCCCACTCCCTCAACTGGCCTTGCACCGTGCTGGCAAAATACAATCAGGTGTAGCCCACACAGCATCCGTTTGCATTGATCTCCCTGGATTGCTCCGTAGCAGCAGACAACAGGTAGGAGGCGTGGTACTCGCTAGTATTCACCAGCTTTGATGATATTTACCTCTAATTAAGTTTCTTCCCCAGAGAGAGAGAGGAGAGAGAGAGAGAGAGCTGGGATGGAGTGAAAGAAGATAAAAAAAACCTCTCTGAACAGAGTGTTGTGCAGCAATCAATCCTCTCTCCCCTTCCCTCTAGAGCTGAGCTGGGGAGGATGGATGGAAGACAGGTCTCTCATCTGGGAAAACTGGAGAGAAGTAATAAAAGAGCCATACCTCAACCTCTACCCGAGGAGACAAAGGAGCAATGCCTCCATCCTTTGCGTTTGTTGTCCTCCAGTGTTTTTCAGTGAAGCAGTAACAGCAGTTTATTTCCGATTTTACGGAGGCTTCCTCTCCAGTAAAGATGGATTTAATTTAACAGACAATACATCTTTTGGGGATTTTATATGCCAATTATTAGGTTGCTGAGCTCCCTGCAGGGTTCGTGCTGGTACAATGTGTTTCAGTTAAGATCAGGTTAAAACAAACAGAAGGCTTTACAACGGATCAGCTCAAATCTTGGTGTTTTTTTTATTTCGTAGCCAGAGAAAAAGAAAACCAAACATCTTGGCTGCACCAAACTGTCTAAATTTACCGTGGATGACTGATTCTCATTTCTTGTTTCATTTCAGGGTGTTCAGGCTATCTTACCACGTGTTTGAGTGCTACATATGCCCAGTACCATCTCAAAAAGTGAATTTTTTCCCTCTCTTTATTCATTCTCCCTAGGTGTGTAAAGTATTGAACACCACCACTATGAGCTGCTTGGCTCCCTCCCTGATGGCAGAGTACAGTCCAGGTTTGGACACAGTAAAGCATGCAGACGAGTTTGGGTTCATCTTCAACAACGTCCAGGCGCTGCTGGTCTACAACAACACCAACCTCCTCTACTACCCAAACCCTTACTTTGAGCCTCTCAGCACCAATGGAGTCCTGGAGCAAAAACCAGGCTCACCCATCATTCTCAAGGTACAGGAACCCCTGATTAGTATTTAAATCTACAGATCATTTACTGGCTCAACCCACGCGGCAACCTCTGGTGGTGAAAAGGGAAGCCAATGCCTTAAACGTGCATGCTTTCTACTGGCTATCAAGGTCAACTATGACCCTACTTCTCACTGAATTTATTTATATTATTATTTATTACCTATCATTGTAAACGTGATTTTATGGTCTCAATCGCTAGTTTCAAGTCTTCTTCAATACAGAATGACGTTAATTTCGTAGATTATGTCCACGATGACAGTGTTTCTGGGCAAAACACCGACACCTCTTCTTGCTCAATCTTTGTTACTTTCTCTGAATGTCGGCTAAATATATGCAATTTATGTGATTGTTTTTCTTTTCATAAAGGTTGTAAGAAGCCTTGTACCTGACTCTAAATTGATTGAGGAATATACTTTATTGTTTTCATGATTGCCAGCTGTCCCCACTTGCCGCCATTGTGAAATATATCACCTTGTTTGATCTCAGTATGGAGTCAAATTTGGCCGCAGCTGTGCCCAAACCAAGGGATGTTATTTACAGTGTTTTAAAGGGATATATTGGCTTTGTGGGTTTTTTAAATTGTCTTCATTCCCAACATGTGTTTATGTGTTGCTCTCCCAATTTCACACCCCTCTGGCCATCTCCGTGTGCCCACAGGGCAGAAACCTGGTCCCCCCAGCATCAGGAGGGGTGAAGCTTAACTACACTGTGCTGATCGGAGAGACTCCCTGCTCTGTCACTGTGTCTGAGAGCCAGCTGCTCTGTGAGCCGCCCAACCTCACCGGACAGTACAAAGTCATGGTCAGTATGGAAAATGGGCTGTGTGTTTGTTAGTGTCTATTTCATAACTTCCTCTTCCACTCTATTTCCGTCAATCCCCGAATTTGCGGTTTCTTGCCCATAATAGCTGGCCTCTAAACTTCATTATTCATGCTCTCATCATTGTTCATTCAACTGAAGAAAAGAGGTCAAAGGGAGACCAGCATGAGTGTGCTCTAGCTGTCAAAAGGTTCTGCCAGAATCCATGGCAATTATTTTTAGTTGTCTATTCGCTTATTGAGTGCAAGCCCCAGACTATTTCCCTCTCAACGTCAGCATGTAGGTGGCCACATGTGTTTGCACTCGGTATCAATTTCAGCTGCCAATATTTACTTATGTTTTTGCAGGATTTCTGAGACTTGGCTCATGCATTGCTGTGTATCAGTTATGTAGATTTTAAGACCAGTGATCAGATCATTTTTAACACGACGCGTCTTCCTCTGTGGTTTTGTTTAAAGGATCTTCTAAACTACACTCGCCATGTGCATGTCCATTATGTATTTGTGTTTCTCTTCGCAGGTTCAGGTAGGTGGTCTCCACGTCTCTCCTGGTTCAGTCCACATCATGTCTGACAGCCTGCTGACCCTTCCGGCCATTGTCAGCATTGCCGCCGGCGGAGGCCTCCTCCTCATCATCGTCATCCTCGTCCTCATCGCCTACAAGCGAAAGTCGCGCGAAAATGACCTCACCCTGAAGCGCTTGCAGATGCAAATGGACAACCTGGAGTCACGAGTTGCCCTAGAGTGCAAAGAAGGTAATTATTTAGAATAGTATAAGAGTCAGCCGTCAGACCAAGTGCAGCACTGTGTAACGACCTACTGTTAGACTGTAGATTGAAGAGGGCGATTATGGCTCTGCTTTGCTCCATTTGCAGCCAGTAATTTTAGAGGCTGCTCCATCACTCGTTTACCTGAATGGGGCTGATGAATGCATTTTACTTGCAGACTGTAATCACATAACTGGCATAATTTGTGCCTATAGTACAGAAAGTAAATTACCGGTGGTCTGTGTGTTAAATAATGCAGTGGAAATTTCTCCAAATCTGGGTCAGTGAATCATCCTGGTTGTATATCACAACACTTATTTTAAGTGAGTTAACCCTGCAGGCGACCCGTCTCGTCTTGTTGTGAGTCCTTCCAGCTCTTACTTCTTTCTAGTTGTCATGCTGGATACAGATTCGCACACAAACTGACACATGAATGGAGTGTTTCTCATTAGAGTTACCCCAACTACCACCCAGCAAGAGCCACATCAGGCTTAAGCAGAGGGGGTAATTCTACATTTATCTTTGTATGCAATGTGTGTGTCTTTATACCTGTGTGTTGTTGTGTATGTGTTTGTATGCGCGTGTTTTGGTCCCCTAAAATATGAACAATGAATGTCGTTAAGCGACAATGACATTGCGACGGTTTTGAACACGCAGGTGCTTTGATACACCTTGGCTCAGGGTAAAGAGAGGGCACAGTTGTCCATCTGACCTTTGACTTTTCAAGTCACTGCACTGGGTGGAACCCGGATAACTTCAGGTTGACCCCGAGCCATCACTCCAAGTAGCAGTTCACAAAGAGCGCTCTATATGTTGCAGCGTTCAGTTTTATATGAATGCTTTCAAATAAACACTGACTCGCATTGAGTTCGGACCTCAGTGAGGTGTGCACAGCATGTGTGCACAATCCTTGCAATGTGACAATCTACTGTTTTAAAGCCAATCCTTTGACCAGGTCAAAGTGTGGACACGCATATGCGACAGCTGAGTTTTGATCTGACGCATCCGATCACAAAAAGTCGCATTGAAAAGACGAGTGCATCCACGGCCTGAGATGACAAAGCTGAGGTGTGTGAATTGTTATGTTTGAGAGTGTTTAGGGGATTTCATCAGCCAGACATTATATATCCCCTCCAGCCACCCCTGACCAGCTCTCCCAATGTTATTATGCAGTGAAAAAAAGAAACATCCTATTGCAGCAAACTTCAAGGATGGTCCAGACTGATAGACAGACAGGCAAACAGGGGGAATCAGTCACACACTGGCAGCCTTGGGAAAGGAAAGATTAATGGTTTAACCATTAGCAGTGACCAGGAGTGTAATGCCCCTGCAGGGTGGATTTAGATGGGTACCTGGGTTCCTCCTTATGAGTATACACACTCCATGTGTGCCTGTAAGCCCATGTGTTGGTGTGTAAACCCAGGAGCCGCAGGGGGCCAGGGGCCAGGAGGTAAGGGCTAAGACTGGTTGGAGATGGCGGCGTAGGGGACTGCTGCTGCTCCTGTGATAGGCTGCAGACAGGGAGCCTCCCCAAGGGCGGCGAAGCACAGCAACAGAGCCGTGGGCCTGAACAGGAGTCAGTCAGGATGGAGCCAATTAACTAGTGCTCACCTGCAGCCTCACACTGAGATGACACACACTCTTTGGGGCCTTAGCTACAGCCAATTTACTGGCTGGTAGATAAAATCGAGTGAGAAAGGGAAGCGTGTGTTTGAGAGAGAGAGTGAGAGTGAGGTCTGTGTTTTTTAAGGGAGAGATGTGAAATATTGAGTTTCTCTGACATGAAGACTATCTTGGGCTTTAACTGTCAGCTTCGTGATAACGGCAGTAAACACTTTGAATATGAGAAGGATTCACGTATTTCTTCCCTGGGGATTAAAGAACGGTTTTATTCTCATGCTGGATGCCTCAAGTATTTCCTCCAACTCGTCTCTCTTTCTTGTCTCCCTTCTCTCCCAGCCTTTGCAGAGCTGCAGACAGACATCAATGAGCTGACCAGTGACCTGGACAGAGCTGGTATCCCCCATCTGGACTACAGGACATACGCCATGAGGGTCCTCTTCCCCGGCATAGAGGATCATCCTGTCCTCAGAGAACTGGAGGTAACGGGAGAAAGACAGAGGGCAAGAAAGAGAGATATTAGAAAGAAGATGACTGAGACAACTAGGCAGCAAATGCATGAAGAAAGGGCAAGAGAAAGTCAAACTGAGGTGAAAAGAGAGATATGGAGAGAGGAGTAGATTGTGTCTGCCCTCACTGCTCTCTCTGCAGGGTAAGCTCCATAAGCGGGAACAGTGCTTGAGGGGAAAGGATACCAGTGTGCCACTTATCCTTTCAACCCTCTAGTCTCACAAACGTACACACATATAGCCAACTATGTTGGGCAGCACACACATATATATACATCTTACATGCAAGCTCCCTCATGGAAAACAGGGTCCCAGCACATGGCTATTTCATCCACCAGTGGCTGCAGTGTGAGGGGTAATGAACTGAATAATTCCCTATCCTCAAGCAGGACTGTGGGGTTCTCCATTGGGAGGAAAATCTGGCTGGTTAACACTTTTTCGCTCCTCTTCATGGGGCCAGAGGGGTGCTGGGAAATTAGTTTATTTTATGTGGAACACAGTCCAGAGGATAAAAAGTTTCATTCTGATAGAGGTTTACCATTTGATTTGTTGATTGTGTGTGAGATGCAGCATGGTATTGGTTTATCGGGAAGACGTTGCATGGTTAGGTAGAGGGATGGTGGTTCAGATCCGACTAGCCTTGTGGGGTAGAGGTCAAAGTGTCACTTCTTACTACAGTGAGGTTCAGTGAGCAGCATAGGCTTGTGACAAGTTTCTTTTCATTTATTTCGATTGTCAAACTTTTTGAAAAGCAGTAACGTTCACTCAAACAAAGAAAGTGAGTTTTGTCACTTCGGGTTGGTGTTACTCAGGCAAGTTATTTGACATTTGACTTGAAAGTGAAATGGCAGCAAACTCGGTGTACAATGCTTTTTAACAGACTCGGGTCAATAATTGATTAAGATCTTCTCAGTTACTCACCATGAGTGGCGACTGCCTCGAGTGAAACATGAGTGAGGGTTTTGGTGCCTTTGAAAAATAATCTTTATTTTCTGTGAGACAAGGTCAAGATGAAAGTTGAAGAGCAACAATCCTTTTCAAAACACATTCAGCTCATTGCTGTTCAAGTTATTATATTTATTATTCAAATTAGTGCTGGAATCTTATTAGCACTAACGAGCATTATTCTCCCTCCCTCTTCTGTCCAGGTGTCGGGGAACGGCCAGCTGAATGTGGAGAAGGCCCTGAAGCTGTTCGGACAGCTCATCAACAACAAGGTGTTCCTGCTCACCTTCATCCGAACACTAGAAATGCAGCGCTCGTTCTCCATGAGGGACCGGGGCAACGTGGCCTCACTTATCATGACGGCCCTGCAGGGGCGACTGGAGTACGCCACCGACGTCCTTAAACACCTGCTGTCAGACCTCATCGACCGCAACCTGGAGAGCAAGAACCACCCCAAACTGCTGCTGCGCAGGTAACGCAGCACACGATAATGTCCTGTCGCGTAGGGATCACACAACTCACGGTTTCGGAGTGCATGTTGGTGAGTGACTGATTAGATTGGCGGAGTCCCGCCAATATCGAAATGATGATATTTGATGAGCCAAAATAAGCTGATACAGGTTGTTTCTGTCGTTTTGTTGTTATAGCGGTTGGTATAGAAGGCTCTAGGCCTTTTTTTTTCCACAGCTTTCCCTAAAATAGTGTTCCACCACCCCAAGGGCAGTGTAAACCATCAACAATTCAAAATGTTATCAATCAAAAAGCTTTTTACTGCAGTTGACAAAGAAAACTTTGTTTTTTAGTAACGAATTTGATTGACATTAATGTTTCTATTTTGACTTTTGATGATTAAAAAGTAGAAAGAGAAGAGAATTAACATAAATGAATTCAAACAAACAACATTATCATATTCCGAGGAATCCCATAATCCTCAATAACACCGTATGCTCTTTCAGTTGTTTGATTTGATTAACTCCAGCCAGGAAGAATGAGAACATATTGTATCGCTGAATATCGGTAAATATGGGATCGTGTTCTCAGAGGATAGTTTTGCAGTCCTAATTCCAGAAACATGTAAAGAAGTGCAAGGCTGTAGGAGGATGTTGATGCATACAGACAGATGGATGGGGATTCATTTGGAGCTGTATGTTCTTCCCTCTTTTTCTTGTGGGTGGATGCATTCTGATTTTCCCCTGTGTTACTCTGTCGACGCTTCACAGAATAAGGCTCGTAATGAGTGCTAACAGTACATCTACAGTATACTGAGATAAACGGCAAGCACTCTTCGCATCATGAGAAACATCTCGATTCTCTGCATAATTCCGTATTCTCTCCCGCGCTCTGTCCCTCCCCTGCTCTCTCTCAATGCCAATGTCAGTCTCCCTTATCCTCCAGGCTCGGGGTCCTTATAAAACTTTCAGAAACGGCTCGATGTATCTTTCTTCTTTTATTTTCCTCTCCGTGTCTCCAGTGTACATTGTTTTCCGGGGGATTTAGGGTGATGTGCTAAAACTTTAAACACCTGCCAAATCCTTGTCCAAGTGTCCTCAGCTGCTTTGGTGGCTCTGTAGGCATAGAACGGGTTAAAGGACTGACAATAGTCGGCTCTAAAGGTACAGAATGTTTTAGGCACAGTTCTGTGAATAGTCTCTCTGAAAGCTTGACTGCTCTGGACATGATTTTGATTATGTTTGCATGACTAATAAGCGGAGACAAAGAGAGCAGGCAGCCGCTGTACTTTCAAACAACACCTTCGTTCTCATGTTAATGTTCCCTTAGTGTCTCTATTTGAAAAACCCCCCATTAGTAGTCAGAGCAAATAATCGCTCGGCAGGAAAGACCACGCACATAAGCAAACAGAGAATGAGGTTGAAAAGACAGAGAAGTGGACTAAAGCGACGCAGCATCAAATGGACCTGGATTAAGCTGTGATTTTCACATGACAGCAGGGCCCCACATCACTTTTAAGTTTTCACTCTCCTCTCTCATTAGGAACACAGTGGTACGTAATCCTCGCGTCCTGCCGTTGCAGCCTGGAGGCTAAACGTCCCATCGTTTTCACATTTCACTCCCCATTTTTTCTGAAGAATTTAAGGGATTATCGATTTGACATGGCTCTTTGCTGTTGTCGTCTTCCTCATTGGCTTTTTAGAGAAAAGCCGACAGTCAAGCCAGCGTGCTGATTGTACACACACACACACACACACACACGGGTGTCTGCGATCGCAGTCAAATTAAGCACGTGTCGAAGCAGTAATTGTGTTTGCACAGGTTATGGAGAGAGGCTGTTGGCCTCTGATTTGTTGCAATTTTGCGTTTATCTTTTCCGTCAGCCCTTTTCCTCTTTCAGTTGTTCCCGTTATGGGTCGCCACAGCGGATCTTCTATTTCTCTGAAGTCGGTAATCCGGTTTGGAAATCAGATTTTTATGCCGGATGCCCTTCCAGACCTGTTAGTTAAAGTAGGGGTCACTCTGAATGTTTAAATTAATTATTAGTAAGCTTACAGTCCCTGCTGGGCCGAGTTCACATTGCTATAGGAGAGTGCCAACATACAGGAAGAACCTTGAGGTCACCCAACCCTCTTCCTGTTCTCATTTATATTACAGTGGGTTGAGTCGTGTCAAAGAAGCTTTTTTTTGCTGCTCAGCTGTCAGTGAATGCTTGTCTCCAGAGGGGACATGTCCACAAGCTAGCATGTCAGACCTTTTAAGAGAAAACCATAATCTCACAAGTCTCACAGACGAAGATGCAAAAATAGTTCCATCTGTCATGGTGTGTTAGCATGTTACATGATCCCTCAGTGACCTGCAATAGTATATAGTTTAATGTGTAGTTTGGATGCAAAAGGTTGTTTATTGAAATATTGAAAGATAAAACTTGCAATATTCTACATGTCTGTGGCCCCAAACACATTTGTTCTTTCTAAAGATGTAAATATTTAAAAACAGCTCATGAACAAATAATTTCATTAAAAAAAATAGACTAAATAACTTCCTAAAACAGCAGGGCGCTGTACTGTAGAAAGCGTTACTCAAACGAGAGCAAATTTATTCTTTTAGCCGCAGATTTGACTTTCTTGTGACTATTTACAGCAGCAGGGAGATGAGTGTGGGTGTTGACTCTAAATAAACTCTGCCCATGTTAGTGTCGGTTATTTGTGTGATTTGGGGTCAACTATAGATTTCTATTGAATAAGCAACTGAATATTAGGTTTTGGCTACACGGGCAATACATGTTAGTAAGATTAATTGTTGTTTTGGGCTTTTTTCTGGTACTTTATGGGAATAGATGTCGAGAATATTACCAGACTTTTTCCTGAAAGACACAATCGCTTCTTTTCTTTTGTATACATTTATATTGCAATGGGATTCAAACATGCTGTCATTCTCAAATTAATTGACAGGTATTTTGATACAAGGGCTGACCGCATTCTGATAACAGTGTATCTTGAAAGCTCTACAGTACGTAGGGTTTTGAGTATACGTGCTGTATAATGTATATATGTGTAGAAGAGAATGTCGGTCCCGTATGTGCACACGGTGCGGAGAGAAGCTATGGCAGAGCAGCAGCGTGGTGCAATGTGGGTTCTCCAGCGAAGCAAGGCACCCCTTAATTATTTAGCTCCGTTCAGTGCGGTGCGAAGTTGGAGTAGGATGCCATCACTGGCCACAGCACAAAGGGAAAGCCGAGGACAAGAGGGAAGACGAGAGGAAAACATGAGGGAAAGAGTTGAGAATGTAGAAGAGCTAGAGCAGAGGAGTATTAGAACCGATGACAGAATTACAGTTCAACAACTAATGAACATATAATTCAGCAAATTAAATGGGGGTTCTGAATGCTTTCCACAGAGTGTTTTTCCAAGTTTCTTGGCCAGCACGTTGAAGATGCTGCATGTAAACTTGTCCTCTGATTAGCATTAACACTGCGTCTCTGCCTGCCTCTCACCATCTCTGTATGCCTCCAACATGCCCCTTATCTGTCTTCCTCTCACACTTCTCCCGGGGCAGGTTATCTCCTGATGATATTGTTTTGATATATTAGTGTTTACAGTTGGAAGATGTACTGATTGTACTAACTACACTTTATTGGGAACGGCGATATATTGCAGGGCTAAAGGTAGATTGAATAAAGAGGCTGGTAAAAATAACATCCCTCTTCTTCACTTATCTTAAGTGTCTGTCAAGATCAGATACATTTTCTGACAGTAGATTTGACTTAGTAGCACCTAATGTGCTTACAGTATGTCGTAAATATATATACAATATATATATATTGTATATGCGTTTAACAGGCTTTATGAAAGAAGTTGAATGGGCTAAAGTGTTCCTCCCTCTCCATCCCCCAGTAGCAGACAGAGTGCAGGGGCAGAGGGGTTGTTTAGTCGAACATTTTAGTCCAGTCTGACTCATTGATCATTTATCTGACTGAGATTTGTGCAAGTTAGTATCTTTGGCGGAAATATTAGCAGCCTCCACGGGGCGCAGCTGCGCCGCTCTCCCTCTGCAATGTGGCCGCCAGAGCTGAATGAAACGGACCGGGTCTGTCCCCCTTTTGAGAAATCAACAAATCGCCAACCGTATATAATAGAACGAAAATGAATGCGTGTGAAAAGCCTCTTGGCATATTTAGCAGGATGGAAGTAGTTAACCGCATGATAGTTACTGAGACTACAACAAATGCAGCAGGCATTGGCTGATGTCATTGGCTGAGTATAACGGTCGGCTTGATGTTTTGTAATGCCAGAGAGGAGTCTGTAATATGTTATGTTGAAGTTGGTCTGTGCCACATACTCATTTTCCTATTATGCTCATCCTTAAGTGCCAGATCCCATTTCACCATCCATCCTTCCAGCCCAGTGAAAACAAATTCTGGCATGTACAGTATCTTGCCTTTTTGCAGCGGAGATATAATATCCCCAGTCAGTTAAGTTCGTTTGAAGGGTGCACTCTTGCTCTTCTGAGGCGTGTTTCTCGTCTCTTTGGTATTTAACAGTTTGTGATGCCTCTTCCTCTTTCTTTGTCTTGATAGGGATACGTTTTTAGCTCGCAGACACTCACGTTCTCCTAAAAGCTTTTTGAAAGCAACATCTAAGCTTTGACAATGTGTTTGATTTTCTCAATCTCCGGAGTGCTAAGTGGAACTGATGCTGCGCCTCATGGTGTTGGATTGTATTCCGCTACATTGGTGAAATATGTTCTTGCGCTCGTTTTCTCTCGGTGCCCTATACCTCTCCATTGCTCATTCCAACCTTCCTCGTGTCTGTTGTCATTTCACAGTCTCTCTTTCATCCCGTCCATTGTTACTGAAACTGTTCTGGTGCATGATGACCCCCACCACACCAGAACATTCTTTAATAGCAAGCCACTTCTTTTTCAAGCTCTATTCTCTATCCTCTCCATCTTCTTCCTCCATCTTCCAACATTCAAGTTTTGCCAAAGCCACTCTCTTTACCCAGTTTCCTTCTCTTCTTTGTAATGTTCTTTTAATGGAATCACAGAACATTGCCTCTATCACCTTGAGACTTTTCAATCTTGTATTATTTTTCTCCTCAGCATTTTTGTAATGAGATTTCCGCCCATGCAGAGCAATAGAGTACAGAGTTATTAAGAGTGGGAGTATTGTGTTTGGCATTAGTTTCATTGAAAGACATTCCACATCCTGCTAATAAAGCCCCCCCCCCCCCTCCCTCCTCCACCCGAGCTGCCATTAGGAGACCAGAAATGGGAGGGGGGATGTGAGGCCCCTCTTAAACACTATGTGAGATAATGAAATCCTGATGTTCATTAATGAAACTCAATTAATAGATAGAAGGAAGTGGAGGCAGATGAGGAGGAGGACAAGAAGGAAAGGAGGAGGAGGAGGAGAACAAAGTGCCTCTCCCCTGTCCGACATTGAAAAGGAGAGATATTAAGGGGGAGTCAGCACAGCCCCCACAAAAAAAACCCTTTATTTGACTTCCTTCTTCGGGACTTGCTGAGCTTATTAAAATGCTTAATAGGTTCCATTAACTTCTAACACACTCAAGTCTCATACAAGCTGGGAGGGGCGCATGGTGAGCATGGGGAAGAGAGGTGAATTCTCGTAAAAGAAGGAGGGCAATTACAGAGGGATTTGGGGTATTGTCCAAAAAAAGAAAAAGAAAAAGATCCACAGTATAGTTAGGTTTATTCAGCGTGAAAACACATCCTCAGGCACTTGTAGTGGCCCCTTGTGTTTTCGAATGACTAAATTTTTTTTGTTGCGCTGCATTGACAAGGTTCAGTTTGTGAATTCTGTATGTGTAAATCTTTATCTATCCATGTATACTCCCACCTGTGTGTTTGTATATGTCAGAATGACAAAGAGGGGAAAAGCACAGACCTTGTGTTTGTGACACCAAAGAGGATGCCGACCCGTCACACACACACTCACACACGCACAAGAGCATGCGCTTCTTCTGCAACTTCTCAGCAATGTTTACTCTCTCATCCTGTAGCTGAAACTGAGGGAACTAATATCTACATCTTTCTCCCCCCCCTCCCCGCTGGCACATTGCATTTCAAATAGGCTGTCACCCAGCTCTCCATCCTCTCAACGAGCTGCCAGTAGACCGGCCGCTCATCACATTCTCAGAGGAATAGCCTCCTGGCATGGGAGACAACATCACAACTCTTGCCGCACGTCAATCAAAACAAAATGTAACCTCTTCTCCACTGTCCTGCTACTGTGGGAGACTTCTGTATTTTAGAGAGAGAGAGAGAGAGAGAGAGAGAGAGACTCTCACTCTGTCTCAGTGACTCAAATCTTAGCTGTTGTAACCTCCCCTGACTCAGACAATCCTTCAGGGACTGTTTCGGTTTGAGATTCTTGCTTGTAGCCCTTGAACACGACTTCACGCAATTATCTCCATAATAGTCATAATTTCTCTTTCGGTCCATTCAGAGCCTGAATAGGTATAATCATCCCTGGCACTATTTTTTCTCTGAGGAGATGAAAGCCTTCCAGCCTGCCTTAATACCTGGCTGCTTCGATTCCTGCTAATCCCCAGTTCAGCACATTGCGCTGTAAGGCCCTTCATCATATACACCAGAGTAATCACAGTGATTTCCTGTTACATTAAGGTCATTTTTTATTTATTTTTTTAATACATTGCCATTTGAATTGGTAACACATGTACAACTGGAGGGATATTTGCAGCCAGGTGACAATCAAATGCTGTCACACTCAGTCATTTATGTGGCAGTTTAACATGGCATCTTAACTTGTGATTAGTGTGTGTAGACATTGGCGTGGGAAGTGGGGTGCTAAGGCTGTTTTTTCTGTCGGCTTATATTTGACCTGCATGGGATATATATATA